AAGAACTCTTGGCTGGGTTGGAAGTATTGAGGAGACAGTGGTGCTCTGTAGGGCAAGGGTTGCCTGCATCTGTCAACACAATTGCATACCTAAGAGCTCTTCCTAACAGTGAGCTGCTATTGCTTCAGCCCTAGTAAAATGGGGGCAAAAATTGTTTTATAACCAGTAATACTGAAGGGTCTCTTGAATAGCATGTTGTTCTCAGCCCAAGAGTTGGCAGCCCCAGCCTTCTAGGCTCAGACTGAACAGTAGATGTTACTGTGCTCTTGTTATGCTTCTTAATCTTGAGAGTAAAGAAAACATGCAAAATTAAGTGGAAGTGAAGCTAAGACAGTATCAACACTTGCGGATGGATCCAGGGTTTTGTGCCTACCGATACGTTTGTGGGCACGCCTATTAAAATGCTGCAAGCAGCTGCTGCTTCAACTATGCAGGCTGGGAGAGGAAGATCAAAATACCTTGTCTGTTCCTGGGTTGGTGCTGCTGCCAGCATGTGGTAAATGAAACTAGCTCTTGGTTGATGAAACCAACTCTGGCTTGGGGGTTCTGGGCTCTTAGATGAGCCCTCCCTCCTGGTGCCTGGAGTTACATCTTCCCTTTCCTATTACACATCCTGTGCTTGCTGTGTTACCTTACGCCTACAGAAAGTGCTGGTTGGTCTGTGCAGGGAGTTTATGTGGGAAGGGCAAGAAGGGAGCACAGAGTAGGCTGTCTCCAGCCCCTCTGGGACTAGACACTGTATCGCATGTTCCTCTGGCTTCAGTTATTTGATCTTAGCTACCTATTTTGGGGGGGAAAAATGCTGACTTTGGCTTTCTTTCTTTCTCTCCTGTTCAGTCCACTCCTGGCAAGAAGTATAAATTTGTTGCGACAGGCCATGGCCAGTACAAGAAGGTGTTGATAGATGATGCTGCGGAGCAGTAGCATGCCTGGAAAACTCATTAACCAGGTAGGTGGGGTATGACCTTGCGTTGTGTAACAAACTCCTGGCACTGTTCTGGCAGGACTTGGCGTTATTTCTGCCAGCTCCACTTTGGGCGAGTTGGAAGGTACTGTATGGTAGCAGCTGGAGCCTTGCTTCTGGGTGAACGCCTGACTTTCTGAGCTGGAAGGGAGTGGCTACACAGCAGGGGTTTGTTTTGGACTCTCTCTTTCTGATGCCGCTAGAAAGCTGGATACCTGTGTTAGTTTAATCTGTAGAGTAAGTCCCTTAGCTACTACTGCCTGGGTCAGGATGTGTTTGCCTTTGCTAGTTCAAAGGAACAGTCTCTATCTGCTGTTTTATCTTATGTTGCAAGGAGAAGCAGATAGCTGGAGGTCATTCTGGCTCAGCGCGGGGGCTGATGTTACTCCTGAAATTTAGATGCTTCTGGGGTCTAATTCCCAGATTTACTGAATTAATCAGGGGAAAAACTTTTAATGATTTCAGTAGCCTCTAGGAAGCAGTCCATAATAGGGTTGTAGTGGGGAGGACACGCACATCTGCTGTGCTGGGTAGACCAACAGAGCAGAAAGGACCGTCCTCTGATGTGCAGCAAGGGGGAAGGCAGAGCCGGGTTTCTGTCTCTGTGCCCTCTTGAAACGGTCTTAGGATTTCATGCTCATATTGTGTTTATGTTAATAGATATCCTGGTGTTATCTTGAGTGGATGATAGTAGAGGGTTGAGGCAATAAGGAGGAATGGTGTAGAGGGAGGTGATAACTGGTTGGATCCAACCAGGCAGCATCTGGCACAGTGAGAGGAGAGGAAGTTGTCAGGGGTGAAAACAAGCTCATTCTCTTTTTTTCCTACTATAAAAAAGAAGCTTTATTTCATAGCCAAGCTTATAAATAGCTCTGTCTGCTACAAAACACCTTTTGTTTCAGAATTCTTCTGGGGGCTGTGCTTTTTTTTTTAATCTCTCAAGGAACTGGCTTCTGAGTGCAGTGTATTGTTTTGTTTGGGTTTATTTTTTCCTTTTGTGGTGCCCATTTAGAAGATAAGCTCTCCTGAATACCACTTTGAGATGAGCAGCAGTACAAATCCAAGCCTGCCCAAAGCTATGTTTTTAGATGTAAAGGAGGAAGAGCCCACAGGACTTGTATCCTCAAATTGCTTTTCTTCTTGTGGCTTTTGGAAGCCTATTTTAAGGTTTCTTCTTTATCAGTCCTCTTATTTTTTTCCAAAATCTGTTTTGATGCACCAGGTAGAATCCTACTGAACTTCAGTTCTTTATAGCAAACAGGTTTTTGTCAGTAGGTGGGGTTTTTTTGCCATACCTGAGCTTCTGCAAGCAGTTCAAAGGAAAGTGCCCTGGCTCTGATCTTTTTACAGCATCTTTTCTTGAAGGGCCAGTGACTGTCATGGGATGTCCTCTAGGATCTACCCAGTACTCCAAGCAGTCACAGCACAACACCGTTGCCCTGTGGGCTCATTCACAAGGATTTTTTTATTTTATTTTATTTTTTTTACTGTAGATAGCAAAATGACTGTGATAGCCAAAGGATCTTGGCTTGTTTTGCTTTTTAGCTGGCTGTTTTGTCTGCTGCGAGGTCCCTGCTCCCCAGCTCCTCTCCATGCCCTGAACTATATTCATTCTTTTTCCCTACTGCCAGATGCCTTCATGGTTGCCTTTTTGCTCCCAAACACTTCTGTCTCACCCTGTGTCACTTGCTCGACACCACCTTATCAGCTTTCTAGTTGCTTGAGCACAGGTATAATTTTTCCTCCTCCCCTCCTTTCCTGAGCTGCAGGACCTCTGAGCAGGCTGTGGAGCAAGAGGTTTTCTTTAAGTGGTAATTTAGGCTCTTGGCAACTGCCTGAGGGTGTCTGACATTGCAAAACAACCAAACTCTGTTCCCAACAGTGTTCCCCTTCCCTTGCTCAGCACAGCAGCTCGGGCTGGGACATGCTGCCGTGGCTCCCAACGCAGAGCTGCTGGTGGAAGTCTGTTGCCTCCAGGCATCTGTTCTCTCCTCTGGGATACTCTGGTACCAGGGTCTGTCTCTGCAGGACTCTCCATGCCTGCTTTGTGCCTCTGCCCTTCAGCCTTGGGGCAAAAGGGCTAAGCTGTGCAGCCAGACCTGTCTTCCTCTGCTTCCCACTGCAGGAATTGCTCTCCCTGCTAGCAATTTCCCATCCTCCATCCCTGCGCGGTGGAGCTGGGTTGTGGATGCAGCCTGGTGGGAAGCCCAGCAAATGCAAAAGTTGATGGTTTGTTCTGGATGGTTGTTCTCACTGCAGGACAAAGTGGATTAAAGCACAGTTGCTTCTGAAACCATCTTCTCTGGCCCGATTCAGTCAGTCTCCCAAGTGTAATCAATATTGGCTGTTCTGCTTCATGCTAATGCTGTGGATCTTGTGAATGCAGACTGTTGTGCACAGGCATCCATCTAGCTGTGCTACAGCAAGGTGCCATTTTATCTCTGTGTGGTAAGGACATCTTTATCTGCATTAGGCATTCTACGTGTTTTACACTGCACTCTTTGATTTTTGATTTTGTGTTGCTGCATGGATCTTTCTCTACAGTCTTCTCTTTTTCAGCGTGTTGAATTAGCCTGCAGAAGCTTACCTGGGATCCATTTGTGATTATTGGTGCATTTCCAACCTATCTCTTTTCAGTTTTTCTCGTGTAAAACTGGGGGGGGGCTGGAGAAACCCAAACTTTAGAATAATTGTGTTATTCTTCCTTCTCTCTTTTTCTTTTTTTTTTTTTCCTTAGAAAAGGGAAGGGGTTACAAAACAGAGAGGGTAGGACAAGCAAAGTGAAAACTGCAGTGAAGGTTTGATGATAACTGAGCTCTACTTATAGCATCATCACAAAATTGGAAGATTTCAAGAAAGCAGAAGGGGCTCTTGGTTTTGTTTCTAAGTCTGTTTGCAGTTTGGCTTGCGGAAATTTTGATCAGCTCCATATCCTCTGTACATGAAGAGAATGTAAAGAGCTGTGTATCAAGTTTCCTATTTGGACTAAACATAGCAATCCTATATTAACTGTGTAGGAACATCCCAGCATATGACAAAGTCCCTTCTGAAACAGAAATAGCTGATCTCCAGCTTTTATGCTCATAAGCCTGGTGTCGATGGAGATGCAAAGGGTGACTGTAATGCTGAAAAGCACAGTTGTCTCTGGATGGACAGAGTTGGGGATTTTGTTTTGAATACCCTTTTTTTTTTTTTTTTCCAGGACATCAGGCATCAGTAGGTATGCATCTATCATGATGTTCACCCTGAAAATGACACTACTGCAGTTAGCAGAACACACACACACACACACACACACAAACACACACACACACACACCCCCCAGCACCCAATTAAATACACAGGATTGGATACCCACATGCTCTTGTTGATGATCATGAAAACACCAGTCCTCAGCTGTACTTAAGAAAGCCTGGTAAAATACATAACAGAACTTGATTACTGCAGCAGAGTTAGTCTTTTGTTAACTGTGATTTAGTGGACTGACCTAGGAGGACATCAAATGATGATACCCATTTTTCAGGCAGGGATCCACTATGTGAGAGCAGGATGGATATATTATGCTGTGTCTTGTCTGTGCCTTGGGTGAAAGGACCAGTTTCCACCTTGTTCCCATCAAACGGGTGTGGGATGCACTGTAGGTGCAGAAGCTAAAGAGATGATGTGTACTCTCTTCAGTTCAGTTTCTAAGACTCCCTAGAGGAGATGTGGAGCCACCCAAATTCTTTCATGTTGTCTCTTCTACAACTGTTTCTCTTTCTAGTATTTGTCTTTAATAAACACAACAAAATAAATTCAGATTCCATCACCTTCCTCTAAACCGGGCTTTTCTACAGGCAGTTTGTCCTCTTCCCTGTGTGCCTCCCCTCTCTTCCCCATGTCACTGCATACAGTGCTTGTTGGCTCTTTTAAAAACAAGTGTATGCTTGTTTTCCTGGCTGATGACCTGTGGATGTGGTATGTTTAAGCATATATATATATATGGAGAGTAACCCTTAAACCCACAGCATGAGGCTGCTGGCTTGCAGGGGTTTTATTTAATTTTATTTTTTCCTTACACTTGGCTCTGGGCAGTAAACCTAGTCATAGATGCTCTCTTGCTTGGTGCCCTGTAGGAACCTCCGGAGATGTGAGCCTGGTGGTGCAGCCTGTGGCTTCAGTTGACTGACCATCCTGATGCCATTCTGTTAAAGCTCTTGGTGTGCTCCTCAGCCGCTTTGGGTCTAAACCGGCTCACCTCGAACACAGTGGTGATCTTTGTCATGGGTTTGGCAGCCAGTTCCTTCAGTTTCCGTGCGTCGAAGCGCGGCTTACATAGAAAGATGGGTAAGCGGCGGGGAAGAGAGGCGCTTTCTTCCTTCTGCAGCTTCTTCTCTTCTGCTTGCTGCTTCCTCTCCTTGGTGACTGTCATCTGGTATAAAATAGCATCCCACAACCTTGTGGCCCTTGATTTAAACAGCCTGTGGTCATGACTGACGATTGCTTGAGAGCTGTCCTTCTCCTTGCTCCCTTCCTCCTGTACCAACTTTTCTGGCTCGGGCTCTGGAAAGTTGGGTGCTTCTGGTTGTACCATCAAGTGCTTCTTGAGGCGATGCCAGCCACTGGCACTGGCTCCAGGAGGTCTTTCTTCTTCTCCTGATGATAGCACTGGCTCAGCTTTGAGGGGAGGGCTGGTGTTTGGTAAACTGGGGCTCAGCTGAGGTTGAATGACATGCTCTGCCTTGGTGTCTGTGGAGGTGGCGCCAGTACTGTTAGCTTGTGTGAGGGTTGCTGTCACTGGGTATGCTTGCCTTGAGGTAGTGCTGGGTGTTGATGGTTTTAGGATATCACCATCTTGCTTGGGTAATTCAGGAGCACTCTCTAATCCAGATATTTCAGTGTCACTTCCATGTGTCATAGGCTTATCATTGTGGGCACTGGGGGTGCTGGGTTTGGGCGAAGGGGCCTTGATGGACTCTTCGGTAGGAGAAGACCTGGGACCTTCATTAGGAGGCTCTGCCTCTGCAACAGAAAGGACAGTAGGCTCTAGTGCAGGACCTGTGGCCTTGCTGTCATTGAGCAGGGTGGGTATCTGCCCTGGAGATGGTTTGGAGTGGCTTGATTCAGGTGCTGGTGATGAAGGCCTCTTTTCTTCATCGCTGACAGTTCCTTGGGTCTGATTTGATGTGGATGTCTTAGCCCTGGGTGGCTTGACACTGTGGAAATAAGTATGTACCTTGGTGACAAAGGAAACCTCTGGTGCCCTTTCTTTACTGGGTGCACTGGAAGGAGGAGGCTGTGGGAAAACAGATATTGAAGGGTTGTGTGGAGAGGGAAGGTTGGTGTCTGTGCCTTCAGGCTGCTGTGGAGTCTCAGGAGCTCCTGGCTTGTGTAGCAGGGGTGTGGCTGAGGAGGTCGTGAGCACAAGGTGTTCGGCAATGCGCCTCTGCTCCGTGACCTTCAGTGTGAAAGGCTTGCCCTTTCGGAAAGGGGAGGGGACGCGGTGGGTGACAGGCTTGATGGAGAGGCGGGTTGGGAGGCTGGCAGAGGGGGTTGCTGTGGTTTCGGGGGTCTCTGCTGGGGGAGCGCTCTCATTGTGCTCTAGGTCAGAGCTGGCCTCATTCACAGGTGAGAGGCTGGACCGAAAGGACTTGGCTTGCTCTGATGCTAGGATGGCGTTCTTCCTGGCTGCCTTCTTCAGCAGCCGCTGGAGCCTCAGGTTGTCCTTCCCAGGCTTTGGTAGGGTGGGAGGGGGAGAAAGGTGGTGTTGGATGGGAGCAGGCTGGATGGAGGATGATACCGTTATCAGCATTGTCATCTCCTGGAAGAAAACACAAAACTTAGAGTTGTTGTGGGTTTAGCCCTGGGTTAGACTCGGAAACATTCATACATAAGGCCTCCTCTTCCTCTATCCAAAAGCTAAGAGTGTGGAGGCAGTACTGTGGGAGAAGAGCATCAGTCTTGGTTTCCTTGGTCTCCCAAGGTAGCCTCAGCCAGTCTTGAAGGTGGCATGGCAAGGGCGAGAGATGTACGGGGGGAAGCTGTATTGCCAAACCTGTAGCCCTTCTGCTCCTGGCGTTAGTGCAAAATCCAGTGAGAGCTCCTTGGGACCCCAGACATTCGTGTCTTGGCAAGTCCTAACGAGATTTGGAAGAAAATGTCAAAAGAAACAGAGTGAGTCTGAAATTTCGAAGCTTTGAAACATTCTCCAGAGGCACAAATCAGGAGTGTTTCATGGCTTTCCAAATTCCAGCTATTAATACTCTGATACAATGTTATGTACAGCAGAACAGCCATAAATTACATGTGTCATTTGAGTCAAAGTCAACAGTGGCCTTGATTGATTTCAGCTGGCAGAAAGACATCCCTGTGAAATGCAGGACTTTAAAAAAGCTGTGTTTATGTGGTGAGAAAGTGCTTTGTCACAGCACTAACTTTGTCTGGTCTTTCCTTGCTGTGTCAAGCACAGTGGCAACCTTCTCCTCCTGCACTCAATTTAAGAGAAAACCTTGTTTTCTCTTTCCCTTGGGGAGCATTGCCCCTGCCCTGCCTGTATCACTCATTCTTCAGTAAAACAGAAATGGGCTGTGGTCTGGGTCAGGTCTTATCCCCATTAGCAATTGCAGCTGGACCGCCTTTAGCCAACCCTGTGCTACTCCTTACGGGGGATGCATATCTGCTTTTCTGGCTCTCTGCTGCTAACTCATCACCATCTCCTTTTCTTTCTGGTGAGCACTTCTTGGATTTCCTGAGCAGTGGAGCTAAGGATCCGTGTTGGGGATAGAAAGATAAAACTAGTCTCAGTTCTCTTCTTTCTCTTCCTGAGTGAGGCTGGCGAACAACAAACACTCAGCTTCTGACCTGCAATGACTCTTCGGCAGCTCCCAGAAAGAAATCTGACTCTACCCTGGCTCTCACTCAGCACAGAGTTGCTGAGTTTTGCTATGAAATGAGGCATAAATCATTGAGCCCCTTAATCCTCAATGCTGGACGCAACTGAGCATCCTGAATCAAGGAAGAGCAGGTGGGTGTTGTCAGGGTTGCCCAGAGGGGCTATTGCATGTGCTCTGCTCAGTTCCTGGTGGCTCCCAACCTGCACTGGTTAGTGTAGGTGTGTAGTGTGATATCTACTGTGCAGGAAAACTATCCCAGATAAAACTCCCAAAACAGCTATTTGTGTTTGAGTGCCCAGTGTTGCCTTTGGGCTTGCGGTGCTGCTGTCAGCACTGGGTTGGGAAGCTGATCTGTACTGAGTGAGCAGGCGGTGTGTCTGCCAAAACTGGTTGTGGGTGGGGGGAAGAAGGATGACTCTCTTTTTTTTTTTTTTTAAAAAAAAGTGCAACGGCAAATCAAAGCACAGAAGAGGTGGCATGTGGGGTACAAAGCCTTCAAGGTGGGCAAGTTGTCTTCCAGAGCAGAGGCTGTGGCGGGCAGAGTCTGGGCAGTGTCTAGGAAGTGGTGCACTGCTACCAGCTGATTTCCTCAGTGCAGGAAAGACATGGACCTGTTGGTGCAAGTCCAGAGGAAGCCACAAAAATGAGAGGGATGGAACCCCCTCTCCTGTGAGGAAAGGCTGAGAGAGTTGGGCTTGTTCAGCCTGGAGAGAAGAAGTCTCCAGGGAGACCTTACTGTGGCCTTTCAATATATAAGGGGGGGCTTATAAGAAAGGTGGGCAGACATTTTAGTAGGTCTTGTGATAGGATGACAAGGGGTAATGGTTTTAAACTAAGAGAGGGTAGATTGAGAGGAAGGAATTTTTTTATGGTAAGGGTGGCAAGACACAGGTTGCCCAGAGAGGTGGTAGATGCCCCATCCCTGGAAACATTCGAGGTTAGGCTGGACAGGGCTCTGAGTGACCTGATGTAGTTGAAGATGTCCCTGCTTTTTTGCAGGGCAGGTTGGACTAGATGACCTTTAAAGGTCCCTTCCAACCCAAACTATTCTATGATTCTATTATTTCGGCTGCAGGCATGAGAAACCTCCCGCTGTTTCAGCGAGGGGGCTTGGAGGGGATTTGTGCCAGCTGGGGGTGACAACTGTTGGGCATTCCCAGTGGATTATCGGCTTCATGCCTTAAACTCAAGGTTGGGATTAGGTCTTGCTCTGTTCTAAGGGCAACTCTTAAAAATAAGTCTGTGCTGGCCTGAAAAAAGGCTGATAGCCCATTCCTTCATCATATACCTTCTCTCCTCCCCAGCCTCATGGACATTCTAGATTCTTCTGGGTCAGAAAGCCAAAATACCTCTGTTGGAGAAGTGCGTACTTGCTTTTGTGCAACACTACTCTGGTTCTGTTTGCATAGGGATTGGTAACTGCTTGTGTGATTATCTGCTGCAAGGTGAGCTACTATGTGCATCTGATGTTAGGATTGATTGTGGAATGATTTAATCTGCTCCTGTTTAATGTGGTCACATGGGCAGTCTTTATTACAAGATGAGCTATGGTCTAGCAGCTCTGGTAAACCATAATTATAAGGTTGACCTGCTTCAGCCATGTGTTGGGAATACTAAAGAGGTAGGACAGTGACTTTCCCAACTACTGATCGGCTCTTCAAGTGTTTTCCTTGTACTACAGACTGCTGCACCCCAGAAAAATGCAGTTTCCTGCATGGGTCAGAGCAGAATCTTGCCTGGGATTTGCTGCAAAGTGCTATTTAGGAGGGCATGGGGGTTCTTGGAGTGGGACATTTAGATACAGTCTGCATGCACTGGGAAAACCTTCCCTCTGTTCCCAAAGTTAGAGGCTGATTTGTGCCCTAGAACATCAAGATTTGTGGTCTTACACAAAAGTCTATGCTCTTAAAATCACTCTTCCTACTATCTCAGCATCCCATGGGACTTGAAACCTGCTGTGCTGTGGGTCTTGGAGACCTGGTGGGTGGTAACTTCCATGGCATGTGACTGTGCTGGAGTCTGTGTGTTTGACTAGTGAGGCAGATAGATGCTAAGAGGCAGCAAAGGGAAATTAGCTCTTGATTTATTTGCCTTCCCTGTCATGCTTGGCTTTGTTTGATGAGTCTGCTTCAGAGCTTTGTGTGCTCAGGAGAAATTCTGCAACAAGCAAGATTTGTGAGTGTCTTCCCTCTTCCTGTGTAATGAAGTGAAAGGAAAGACGGACTTGCTTTATTGCTGACGGAAAGGCCAGAGCTGAAAACCCAGGGACGACGGGGAAAATACTGCCTGAGAAACTTCTGTGGGTTTGTGATAAGATGGAAGGAAAATGAGCTAGAAGCTGAGCCAAGAGGCTTTCAAAGGGTTAAGTTTCCTTGCTGCTGATTGAGTGCCCATGGGTGGAGGAGAGGTCACCCCACTCTTGGACCCCAACTGTTCTGAACTCTGCTCCATCTGCAATCAACTCCAAACTGGGAATGGTGGGGCCAGTGTCAGTGTGGAGGAGTCATTTGTCATGCGATGGAAAAGTCATTTGTGTGCTGGAGTCCCCCGGCTGCACCAGCTGTCGTGCGTGGAGCGGATCGAGAATTGCAGGAACCCGATACTGCCGCAGATGGTCCCAAGCGGAGAGCTGTGGCTGCCGGGGGTGTAGGAACACGCTCTCCCCTTTAGTGGCTTTCTCGGGCTTGGAAGGAAACCTGCTAATCTCCTTCTCGGGAGGAGAGGGCTGGGCAGGGGCACATCCTTGGCTCTGCCTGGGCAGCCGTGACCTCTGCCGGGTGTGCAGCCCTCGGCAGCTCCTCCGCCACGGGCGTGCAGCGTGGTTGAACGTCCTGCAGTGCTGAAGCTTTGTGGGCTGATTCACAGGGCTTTGTGAAACTGGAGCGGGGGGGAACCACCTGTAGCTGCTAGATGAGATGCAGCCTCTGTACAGCCCAGGGTATTGCTCGTGGCGGGTCAAACGGTGCGTATAAACTTTTTTTTTCTTGTCTTGCAGCTGAGCTTGGTCCTGGCTTGATGCAACCCTCAATGCCACTATTTCCTCTGCCGCACAGAAGATAACTGAAGGATGTTTCTCTTCTCCTGCCCGATGTCAGTCTGCTTTGGTACAGCCTGACTCCTCTCGGGGTGTGAGCATTACCCCACGCTGCCTCCGGTTGGATGACAGGAACTAGATCAGCTGGCAAAACCCATCCCTGTTATAACCTTCTATGTGACTCTTTGGCTTTTTTTTTTTTTTTTTTTTAATCTGGCTCTGCTATGGAGATGGGAGGCTGTGGCTCTGCTCCCTCTCTCCCTTATTTTTATTTTTTTTTTTTCTTCTCAAGTATTGGAAGAGAGGGATCTTCTGCCCTGCTGAGCTGGCAGGGCTTTTGCTACATGATGAAGAATTTCTACTTTTGTGCTCTGGGTGGTGGGAGAGAGGGAGCTCAACAGAAACCAGGTAAAAGTGTTTGAAAGGAGAGCAATGGGCAGATCCTGAGTGTGAAGAGACTACGAGAACCACTTGTCACCCTGTTGGTGCCAGCTGTGGGTAATGTCTTCCCCTGTTTACAATGCAGCCTCTGTCCCTCTACAACATCTGTTTTGAGGGACTTCCATCTACTGATCTCTCTGTGTACATCAAACCACATTCAGCTTAGTCCTGTTTTTTTCTTTAGTTCCCAGATCATCCTTTAATCACAGTTACATACCCATGCCAAAATGTTTCTGCCACTTTTCTGTCTCGACAGTGGCAATAGCAGCTTTGTTTCAAATATCTGCTGCCTTCCTCTCCCTGTCTAACATGGATTGGAGGTTTTGTTTCCCAGGTGAGGAGTGCTGACCACTGGTGGTATCTCCCTTCTCTGGGAGAGGGATTTGCTTGTTCTCTAACCTGTGGGCTCCAGTGCCAATGGTTGAAACGCTGCTTCTGAATGTCAGAGGTAGTGGGCACATGGATAACTTGCCTGCTACGCTCCTGGAGGTGGACAGGATATCTGGGAAATGGCTGCTGCTCTTATGCTGGAAGCTGCCTTGGTGAAAGGGCATCCTAGTGAATTGTTCGGGGAGGTCAGGGCTTGCTGTGAACATGGGCAAACCAAGCACCTAAAGAGTGGCACTCTGGTCTTGGGCTTGAGGTCAGTTAATCACCTCCCAGGGTTGTTTCTGAACTCTCCCATGTCTTCATACTTCATGGTGTTAGCATGTCTCCTATCCCCTCTTTAAGGTCTTATTCCTACCCTCTTCCCATGTCAACATAATTTTGCAATTTGTTTCTGCTCTTCTGCAGGGGAGAGGGCAGTTTCTTTCTCCTCCTGCATCAGTGTGCTTTCTGCTTAAATTTACTGCGTCCTGGATATTTTTTTTTTGTAAGCATTTAATAAAATTTGAGGAAGATGTTGTAACAATGGCAACTCTGAGAATTTTGTTGATATAGGAGTTCCTGCAGCAAAGCTGTTTCTAAGACCTTACAACTCTCTGCTTGAACAAAAAGCAGAGGAGAGTAAACATCAGACTGAGTGACAAGAAGAAAAGGAGCTTGATGTACAGAGGAAAAGAGCTTTTTGGGCGCCTGCCCTATTTAGGAGATCAGTGTCATCCTGCTGCATTCTTCACTGTTATTGGGGGTAATTGACTGTAAAATGGAAATGAGTGGTATTTGGGTGAGATGGAGCAGCATGCAGAAGACTTCCCATGGAGTGACCAGCTAGGAGAAGCACAGAGCTTAGCTCCCCAACTAAGACACCTGAGCAATGTCACAGGCTTCAACCAAAATCACTGGTGATGTCGGCTACAAAAAAAAAAAAAATCCTCTATAGCCTGCTTATACAGTTTAGATAAGGTCAATATAGCTGTCTGTACAGGAACCCAGCACTTTAATGAGCTGACTACCCTATCTGGAGCCATCTAATGAGAAATCTTTTTATGGAGGTGACCTTCCAAGTAATAACATTTCTATGGTGTAGAGACAGCAAGTAGTTTGTGCTGTGCTTATGTATGCTTTCCTAAAGTTTTAGGAAGAGGAAGGTTCTCAGATATTACTGTTTGCTGTCATCTTTCTGCTTCTTGGTACCCTTACTTCAGCTCCTCCTGCAGGTAGGAATTCAAGGAGTCTGTGTTCCTCAGCCCTGGGGAGCATGGGTGCCATCTGCCCACATCTTCCTCCCTTCAGTCCTTCCTCTGCTACGCTGGGATTTTCAAGTGAGGCCAGAGCAGTAGCAATGGGCTGTATAGGGGTGTCCTGCCTTGAGGTGAAAGCAGCACTACTGTGTCCTTGCCTGCGTGCAAACTGGTTGCACCAATTTGTTTCAAGTCTCTTCTGGAGCTGGCTGGTGGAAAGGATGGCCAGAAACAACTTCTGTTGCTATTCCTGTGTCCTGCCAGCTCGGAGAGTGCAGAAAAGGCCCTAAAGGCTGTTTGTGTGTAATTCCTTCTCTGAGAAGGGTTAATTTGCAGGGCATATTTTCTCCACTTAAAGCCCATGTGGGCCTTGATGTGGTTTCAACAGAAACAACTGCAGTAATTCAGGTTCTGGTCACAGCACAGAAGTGACCAGGTTATGTGGAAACTTTCTGGTGAGACAAGGGAGCTGTAGTGGTGGTGAGGAACCAGGGAAAGACCTGGCTTGGAGCAGATGTGTGTAGCTCTTTATGAGGTACTTGCCAGGGGAAATTTTTCCACAATTAAATTAACTTTATGATGTGCTGTTTCTCCTCCCAAAGTAACATGGTGTGCACATGGTGGTGGGAGTGGCAGTGGGGTTGCCAGAATGGTGAAAGAGCCCCCCAAAAAGGGGCTGCTGCAGCCCAGGTGCTCTGGATGTGCTTCTTGGGCAATGCTAAGAGGGGATGAAGGCTCACTTCTCCCCTCAGCAGCAAGCACAGGGCATTGTGGCTGATTTTATTTCTCACCAGAAGAAAATGTGGCATCTGTGAAGTGCTTCTGCTCATCTCTCACTAAAATGAAAAGCTCCTGCAGGTGAATTTGCTGCGGAGAAACCACTGTGTGGTGGCGAAGTTATGCTGCAACTTTTGCAAAGCCAGCCTGTTACCAGCTCTCCTGCACGTGTCTGCATGTCACTGGGACCTCTGCTCTCCTGGGGATGTGACCAGCGCTCCTGGGGATTCATCCTGCTCATGTGAGTAAAGGAGAGCAGGCTGTGCCTCTCTATAGCAGTTACTGCTTTGGTCTTATTCAGTAGCTGACTGCTCCATACCTTTCCCACATTCATTTTTCACAATATTGTCTTTTTTTTTTTTTTCAGCATTAGCATCTCAGGTTTTTGTTATAAGACCTTAGCTTTGTATTTTCCTGGGACTATTGCATTTTGAGTGTTACAAAGACAAACTGAGGCATTGAACAGGTCTTTCTTGCAGGATTAAGCTTACCCTCAAAGAGAAGAGTGATGCTTTCCTAGTCCCTGTATCTGTTTGGCTGCCTGTGTTCCCCATGCTGCCATGCTATCCCAAATTACCATCCCCTTGGCAGGTCAGTGGTGCCCAAAGAGAGGGGCTGGAGCCCCTATGTGGGTGCTTGGTGCTCTGACCTTGAGGCACACCTCAAGGTGTTGCTTCTTTCCAATTTTTCTTTCCCCATCCTGTCTGTTTAGATTATGCAGAAGGGGAATATCCTTTTATACAGCATCTACTATTAAATAAATCTGTGGCAGCTACAGTAATACTAAAGCATGCTGCTTGTCTTTCTGTAGCAGGCTTCAGGGCTGCTTTTTTTTCCATCAAGGTTTAACAGATGATTCTACACAAGCATATGTGAGATGGGATTGAAAAACCTGGTGCGGGACCGTTGCAATGCCTGTTTCCTGCAGGCCATAAACCAGCGTTATTTAAACCTGGGGAAAACTTAGCTGATGGAAAACTCAAGTCTGTTTTGAATGTTACATCTTTATATAGCACCCCTCAAGACTGGGGGCTAGACTTCATCTGGGTCTCTTTCCAGGTATAAAATAATTATAGGTTCATTTTTATGACCATCCTTATGTATATGTGCTGGCTAATTAACAGATCTCTGCTCAACCCTTGCTTGTGGCTCTGCACTGGGCCTCCAGCAAGGTGGTGGACACAAGAGTCCAGATTTTCCAAATGACTTTGTTCCTTGAAATGTGTCTGCAGTTTCTGCTCTTTGAAGGAAAGGTCAGATGCAGAGACATCTGGGCCTGAATGTCAGAGCTTCCCCTTCTGCCACCACCACCTTAGGGAAGGAAAATAAACAAGCTCAAAGAGCAAGGTGGCTATAAATAAGGAGGTGATAGCTGATACGCTGCTGAACAAGGCTCTGAGGTTGGTGTATTGGTAACTCTTGCCAGCTCAACACACTTTCCCTAATGAACACACTTTCCCTAGTGCTGCATGATGTGTATATCTATTATAAAGCAGGTAAAGACTGCATCCAACAGTGACAAGAAGTGCAATTGGAGCTTGCATTTGCTTCCAAAACGATGGACCTGTTACAAGGATCCTGATAACGATAATGAGAGAAACCACAGACAATTTCTCTGTGATTTTTGCATTGGGTCCCCTGAGGGTTTTGGCTGCAGTGGAACAATTGGATTTAGATCAACAAATTTCAGAAAGGTGCTTGATCTTTTCATGATAACTCTAAGTAATAGTGGTTGAGCAATGCTATAGACACACACTCTTCATCCTTTAAATAACTAGAAAAAAAATGTCATGCGCTTGGGGCTTTTGAGGGTGATGGGAAGAACAGAGGGAGAGGCTGAAGTAAGGGGAAAATATCATAGGGTTTTATATGAGCAAGCACTTTAAAGCACAAAAGCAGCAAATTGCAAGTGTAATTACTGAATCAGAGGTGCTTGGTTGGGTTGGTAGTCCTTCCCCAAGGTTGTGGAGAGCCTGTTGGTTGCTGATGTGAGCACCTTGGCTCATCTCCTGCCTTGCTTATCTCTGCTGGGGACAGCCCAAAACAGCAGCTCCCAGGCATTGGTCCTGGCTCCCATCCTGCTGCTCAGCCTTCAACCTCACTGCCTGACTGTCTCGTCCTTCTAGGTGTAAATAACCTGAGGATGAAACCCTGGAATGGTCCAGCCTGATCCCTTATCTTCAGAGACACATCTAGCCTAGATCTAGGATGTCCAAGGAGAAGATCTCCTGAATTCCCCAGGGATTGCACCTTAAATGTCTAAAGCAGCTGGAGCAAGCACATCTCCCAAAGCAAACAGCTGAGTGATGGAGCAACCACAGAAATCAGGAATCAATATGAACTGAAGAAAGATGAAATTCAGTACTTACTGATGTGTAATTTGTTTCCATCTGCAATCACTCACGTGTTGGGTGCATTGTGTTACTTCGTTCAGTTTACGAGATTAACAGGTCATTGTTCCTTTGAGATCATTTCAGGTGCTGTTTTCTTAGGATTTTTAGAGCCCTGTTGGTAAGATCAAAACATCAGATGGAAAAGAGTATTTATAGTAGTCACTAAGTACAAGAGGCTTCTCAAAAATAAATAAAGTAACTTCTTTTTGAAAGCATAAAAGGTTCCAATCACCTAAAATTAGCATGAGTAAGGGTTATCAAGTAACACCATTGCATGCTCTCAACGTTGCCCCTGCACAGTTCAGCATCTAAAGTACCAGAGAGCTGAAGGGCAGATGATGGTGATCTTGCCAGGACAGATATTCTAGCAGAGTAGCTTCAGGCAATGAAACCAGCTGGAGGCTTTTCAAGTTTGCTGGTCAGATTTACCATTTAGAAAAAGTCAGGATTGCAAAATGCAAATTCGGAGCTGTGCTTTGGTTGTTACTGTCCCTGGAGAGGAAGAGTGCAGATTCAGGCTCTGTCTCTGCTTGTTCCTGGCAAGGGATGTGATGTACGCAGAGGGTGCAAGCACAGAAAATGCTGCACTGGGAGCAGAGCGGGTTTGGAGTTGGTTAGTTTGGTGAATTTTGGTCTGTGTGCAGTTTGACTTGAAGATCAGGGCTGAGGGTGCTCAAGTGAGCCGGTAAGGATGGCACCAATATCTGCCTTTGCCCTGGCTGAAGGTGTGAGTGGCCCAAATGCCATGCAGTTATTTACTGCCTCTTGGCCCCGGGGCATTTCATCCCCCTTTCCAGCTGTCATCCCAGTTTGGGTTTTGCTTTTTCACAGCCTTTCAGGAGCCTTTTAGTGTGGGTGTCAAGGCAGCTGGTAGCTTAAACGTGCTCACAGGGAAATGGGGGCATGTGAGAGCAGTTTCTTTGGAGGTTTAAAAAGCAGCTTTACACCCGGGTTAAGCTTGGGCTGTTCCATCTGGCTTTTGAAATGCTGGTGAGCTATGCCAGAAAGTCAACTGTGAAGGCAAATTCTTGCTTCTCCAGTACCACCCTGCTAAGTCTTGTTGCTCACTGACCCTGTCTCTGATGTATCTCTAATCTGATTCTGAGTCACTCTGTCGTGGATCAAGGTAGCAAAGCATTCCCCGCATCCATCAGAGCTGTGGCCAGTTCTCATGGAGGGGATGCAGATAGTGGTATTTTTGGGTTGGTGTTAGAGGTGAGCTCTCTATTTGCTTTCTCCCTCTCTGCCTCCCTGATAACTGATGAGATCACGCCTAAACTCTGCAGGACATGCTGCTCCTTAAAGCAGGATTGAGGGGTAGGTGCTTAATCCTTCATGCAAATACGCTAATGCAGTTAATTCTGATGACTTCCAACGTCTCAAAACTGCTATTGTCATTTAGGAGTGCTAGTGACTTTGTGTGTCTCCAACACTAAAAATGTTGCTGGGAAAATACAGACAATAACAATCGGAGCCAACCCAACTGGAAATTTAGGAAAAAATCCATTATGAATAAGAAAATTTCAACAGAATTTAAAAACGCTCAAGGATGTGTTGTACCCTGCTCTGCCACTGTCACCACTGAAACCACACCAGCCTAATGAGTGTATTTGCAGCATGAACTGTATCAGTGACGCACAAGGCTGGCTTATGTCATGCTGGAGTAGGAGGTGTTCAGATCCCTTCCTATTTCTCATGCAAAGATGCAGAGTTTCTGCTCTTACAGGCTAAGAGGGGATAAGATGGGGGCAGATTTTCTTGCTGACTGAGTTTCACAGAAGGGATGACACACTACAGTCTCCACATGTGAGGAGATAATCAGGAAGGTGGATGGAGGCATACCTAGGTAATCTGGTCATTAATAAGAAAAAGCTTGTTGGTTACCCTTTACTCTCCTTTTTATGCCCCTGAACCTTTGAGATGTCATGAAACCACCATCAGGAGAAGGTGTTGGCACCCCGAAGTTCCCCAGCCACCCTCCAGGATTCAGGTAGGTGAAGACAGAACCTGGCAAATACTTATTCTCCCCTGTATCTGAGCGGCTGCTGCAAGAGGTGCATGGCAAGCACTGCACCAGGTCTCTTCTACCTGGAGGAGGCAGAGACAAACTGAGGACTGAGATCCCGAGCCTAAATGCCAAGTGGAGGTATTAGAGGAGCCAGGGAGGATGCATGGTCTTTGCTCGGCCTGTTTGAGTTGTGTTTCAGACTCCTCAGGTTCCCGTCATCGCCACTAAAACAGCAGTGGTCTGCTGATACTTAAATAGAGGAGCTGATTTTAAAGTTTAAGGCTATTCTGATCTCTGCTTGACAGGTTGCATAAAACAGGTCATTGGATTTTACCCAGGAACAGAAAATAATTAATTATATATATATAGTCTGTCCTTTCTCTGAGAGTACTTACTTAGTCATTATCTGATCTGCCTTTTATTGGCAGCTACTTCAATTAAGTTGGGAAGAGTGTTTCAGTGAACACAGGGCATCTACTCTAACCTTGAACTGCTGATTAAATACCGCTACACAGTCCCTTTCTCTGGGGTGGGATAAAGAGAAGAAAGGGGGGTGGTGGAACTGGATAAGAATTTACTTTCCCAAATAGCTTTTGCGATTCCCATTTCCCACCTGCTCTGAATCATGGTAAAAGGTTTGTAACTGAGTGTGACAAAACAGGAAAATACAGCCCCACCCTCCCCCAGTCAGCTTAATCAACACTTTCTCCTGGATAACTTCAAGTGTTTTAGTGCACATGTCTGTGTAAGTGGACAAACATGCCAAAACCAGAATAGCTGCATCATACAAAAAAAATCAAAAGATGTTGTTTTGAAAGCATTCAAATATGACTTTGGGGCAAAGGGGTGGGAGGGGGAGGGAATAAAAGAAACATTCAGGGCTGTCAATGATGGAACGACTCAAGTAACACGTATTTTCCTTGCAAATAAATTCATTTTGGATAACTTAACCATTTCTGGATGACAGAAGGTGTCAGTGAAAGTTCCTCTGTAGCTCTAGCATGGAAGTGTAAGTGCAGTCATTGCCAAATTTGGGTGAGGAAGGACCTCCGGTGGTTTTCTGGCCCAACTTGTGGGCCAAAGCAGAATCCACTTCAGCATTAGATCAATTTGCTCAGTGTTGGTCAGTAGGTGGTGAATAAGGAATAGGTACTGTTTCATTTCAGGATTTAGATCTCTCTTGGCTTGTGAAAGAGCACCTGTTTTATGGGAAGAGTGTAGCCAATTTTATTTACTAACTCTGTAGTCTTTAACCAACGTGAAGCTGCAGGTTCAGACTTCAAGGGCTGTAGAGGTTTTCAGATGCACTTTCCAGCACTTTTTCAGCCTGCTGGCTGAGCATCACCCAGCCGTAGGAGGCAGTGATCCGTGGAAATTCTGCCCACTGACTGGTGTGCAGTGAGCATGGGAGGTGAGGGTATAAAAAAAGACAAGGATTTGGCCAAAGTGCCCATCTTTATGCAATTTGTAAAATTATCGGGGCTAATGTGTGTGCACTCTGCTTCAAAGTATGTCTCCCCTGAGTGCACTGGCTGCTGCAATAGGTCAGCCAACAGCCAGAAAAGATGAGAAGGGCTGATTACAGCTCTGCTGCAAGTGGCCCTACTATGCTGTATATTCCTGTGGCCCATCTCAAATAACCAGTCTGGGTCCTCCTACCTACCCAAAAGAAATGCGATATTGGAGTAGGTTACCTAGTGGAAACTTCTCTAGATCTCTTCCCCAGCCTCTAGTTCCTATTCAGGGAGGAACACTGCTTTGCTGTATCCTCTCCCAGGTGGAGATGCTATCACGGTAAAAGCATGCCAGGCTCTGGCCTGAGGTCAGCCAGCAACTGGGCTTTATGCAGTTTGAGATCCCGGTTCACGTCTGTGACCTGTACGTGTGCTCTCTTCGGCCTTCGTGCTGTCTCCTAACCTGGCAGCTGCCGAGAGGGGGTTCTCCAGAGACAGCTGCTTGCGGCACCCTGCCTAACACCATCTGATAGTTTTTGCTGGAAATGTGGCTGCAGCCAGGATCATCGCTGACTCATCTGGTCCATGCGACCAGTAGGGAGCACAAGGTAGTTGGTGGTTTGCTCCATCTTTAGGCTGGCGTGGCTGTGCTGCAGCCACTCAAAGTCCAAGTACACCTTGCTGCTGTTGCAGGGAGAAGAGATGATGTCAAGACAGCACAAAACATATCCTAAAGCAGAACAATCTACAGTAAAGAGGCAAAGCTGATGATGAAAACATCACAGGCTGTGAATGAAACTGCTGTGCGATGGCATCAAGAGGTGAAATAAGGACTAGATGTAGGGTATGTGTGAAAATCTCAGGGTGTGCAGCTAAGGCATGAAACAAATATTGGAGAGGATTATAGTTTAAGTTCCAAAGCACTGCCAACAAAGAGAAAAAAGGGCAAACATAAAATGGGCTGTGGGGAATGAGCCTCAGTTGTGAACCAGATGACAGCGGAGTAAACAGGGTGTGCATCAGACAAGCCTTCCAGAGGGATGGAGCAGATCCCCTCCATCTGGGGGGAAGAGGGAACTGGATCATGCTGGGACTGGAAATGAGATGCATGGCATGGACATAAAAACAGACGCCCTTTGGGACAGTACTAAGCCAAGGGGCCATGCTCACAGGGGCTGGCAATGCGGAAAACAGAGCGTGTACATGATGCATAATGTGAAGATGGACGCTGTCTGCAGCTGTTGCCCAACATGTCCAGATCAGGAACTGAGTTGAGCGCAGGTGCCTGTGTACAGGAACACAGGGGATCATGGAGGCAGCTCATCTATTTGAAAATAGAGCTGCAGCAGGTAGAAACGTCTAGTCACCTGTCCCTCCTGTAGCCTGCATCAACGTCACATTTGTCAAGATGCTTAGAGGGAAATATGAGTGATGTGGAGTGCTTCCCTGCTGCTGGTGCACAAGCAGCACTGCTCTGGTAGAGGCTGCACAACCCTGCAAGATGCTCACATTGCTCCTGCCAACCGCCTGACAGCAAATGGGCCGGACGGGACCCTGGGAGCATTCAGCTTCACATCTGCTGAGAACGACCCTGGTGTAAGCCCAGGTTTTGCACGCGCTTGTACACATACACTTTCTTTCTGATTGATCCAATCCTTGGTGTGGGAGAACTGAGTTGCTGCAATGCCCCGCCAGCAGCAGGGGCAGTCTGTAAGTGGCAGGCAGGCAAAGGAGGCAGGTGAATACCATTGGCAAACTGGGTCCACTGCAAGCATAAAAGGAGAAACAGCTGGGGGAGTCCCCTCCCATACATCCCCACCCTGCTGCCAGTTTGGGCAGATACAGTATTACTTGGAGACGTGCCCGGCTGGTGGAGCGCCTGAGGAAAACGAGCCACTGGAAGATGGCAAAAATGCTCAATGGTGCCGAAAAGCAGTGTGAAAGCTGGTTTGCTGTGTTAGCGCTTTTGGTGGAGCTGCGGAGGGGAAGTGAAGGCCACGATACCAGGTCCAGCCATGTGTCCCCATGCAGGTGCCGCTCGCCTCGGCAGTGCGGGGTGCCGACCCCAGCTCCCCCCACTCCCCTGGCAAACTCCCAGCTGAAGCCAGGTGCTGAGGATGGATGCACTGCCCCTTCCCACCCGACAAGTAACAAAAACATTGGCTCAAGCTGGTTTGCAGGAGGGAGGCGAGGGGGTAAGCTGCCGGAGAGCTGCAGAATACAAGCTGGAGAGGGGATTTTTGCTCATGCATGTTACCTGGTGAATGGGAGGCTGCAGCACTGTGCTCCCACTCCACGGCTTTAAAAGGTTGTCTACATCCTCAGTTGGGGACCCTTTCCTGCAAGTGGCAGGGAAAGAGTGGGCAGGAATCAATCTGTGACCCAGGCCAAAAATATCGCCTGCCCTGCAGCTCCTAAAGTTTTTCTCTGCTCCTACAGGCTGGGCGAAAGGGGGTGCTGGAGCTGCCAGGCACAGTGGAGGATACACTCTGCATCACCAGGGAGCCCTGCCAAGGGGAGAGGGGTGAGAGGGAGGGCAGGGGGACCTGAAGCCTGTGAGATTTAGTGAAGTGGAAACCATGAGCCGGAGGGTTGTGCAATCCTCTGCCGGCACAGCCATGCAACTGGGGAGGGTGCTTGGGCAGCAGAACCCTTTGGGGTGGTTAGAGGATTCCAGGTGGGGTCCAGTCATCTGGGGTTTGTCCTTACTTAAATAATCATTTTGTAGCATGCTAAGAACATCTTTGAGTGTGGCTTGAGGTCAGACAAGCTCTCTTGCTGTGTTTCTGCTCCCTTGCATTTTGCCTCAGATCTCCTCAAGCCCTGACATGTGGCAGAGCCCTGGTAGTTTTAGCGAGAGGTGGGTGCATGCTGCACACCAGCCATGCACAAACACACACCTGACACATGTGCTATGTGCTTCTGACTTCTCACATGCCCTGGGACCGCTTGTTTCAAAGACCATGGGATGGTAGAGGGTCCCCAAGCCTTCCACAAGCTCCAACCCTGCAGCGCAACCAAAGCCATTTACACATAGAGGGGCAGCAGGGCAGAGCCCCTGCCCAGCCAGGAGAGCGGAGGCTGCTGCTAGGGTTGAGATTACACAAGCCAGGGTACTTCAACCAGGTTTTAAGCAGTGATCATGCACCACAGAGCTGCAGGGGCCCCACAGTCTTTTTCCGAGTTGCCTTTGCCTCAGTTACCCCTCTTTAAGCTTGCCTGCCTGGTGGGGCTGTAAATATAGAAACAAGCCCTGGAGGGTGGTGTGTTGTTTTTTTTTTTCAAACATGTCCCTCCCATCTTAGCATCATCTGTGCAATTCCTCCAGCTGCTCCTATACATGGTATGACCTTTTTTTCCCCTTCCCTTGCTTCCCCTTCCATCCCCCCACCCCGCCCCATCTCTGCTCCCTTCCCTGCCCAGCGCAGGGAGTCTGGGGCCAATCGGCTCCTCCAGACGATCAAATGTCACTATAAGTTGAGAGCTGCATCACCTTGGGACGCTCGCAGATCCCAGCCTGCCCGTCCCCTTCAGCAGGGAGCTTGGTGCTTCTCTCCACTCCTCTGAGGTAAGTAGGAGCCCCGGCGAGGGATGCTGCTGGGGGTAAAAACACAGAGGGGTTGAGCCTTGGTTTGAATAAAGAAGCATCAGGGGAGGGTTGGGGTCCACAGGATCTGGGAGCTAGCCCAGGATCCTAAGGAAAAGGCACCTTTCCTTCCTGGCTTTGGTTGGGCAGCACAGGAGGTTCATGTCACCTGCAGAGATTTGGTTGCTCTGAATTCTCAAGAATCAGTGGTGGGAGAAAAGACCCTTCCAAAACCAAGGTGTGGGGCTGTGAATGAAGTGAAAAACTCGTTCCACAGAAGGAGGGAAGTGTTGACCTTCCCTCCCCTGACACCCAGAAAAAGGGATGGTCGAGGTGGGAGGGATGAAGGGCAGGACAATTAGGGAGCTGCTGGCAGGCGGGGTGGGGTGTGGGGCTAGACAGAGACCTGAGAAACAAGAATGTGGTTACGGAAAACTGCCCGCTCCTATGGAAAAGAAGATTGGGAGAGAAACTCCCTGTGTGCATGGGGGGACAGGAGGAGGGGGATAAATTCAGAGCAGTGATGAGATGCTCCCTCTATATATGGCTTCAGACCCCTGTGCTTGGCTGGCCTGACCCATGCAGGTGACCCCTCAGTGTGGGGCATCTCCCCCACCAGCCTGCAGCTGGGGCAGAGCTCCTTGCTGATGGGGTGAGGGGGAATCCTGGAAAGGCAGGAGTGTCACCAGCACAAGTGGATCTGATGCCAGCGATTTGGGTGGGAGCCGTGATGCTGGCGCAGGGGAGCTCCAGAGAGGCTGTAGGCGATTGCTGGGGCAGGCAGCCATCCCTCATGGGTGCGAGACCAGGGGAGAGACAGGGGATTTAAGCTAAGCATGGTCACTGTCTTTTAGTTCTCTGTCTCAGCCTTGTTGTTCCTAGCAAACCCCATGCAGGGATCAGACAGATCATATCACCCTGAAGCCAAGGATAAAGGGCACATTTTGGGGCAGGGAATCAGGATTTTGCTCTATGTCAGTGGAGCCTGCAGCAGTGTGGGTCCTGCTACCCTGTTTCAGAAGCAGCGCTGCAGTGGGTGTTTCTCTCTCCAGCTCTCTCTTCTGGGACTTTAAAAGTACTGAGCATTTCAGAATCAAAGGAAGGAGGCAGAGGGACAAAAGGGAGTATATATTAAAAGAAGTATACATGTATACTTTTTATATAGAAAAGTATATTGATATGTATTTAATAGACATACGCAACACATATTTTTAATGTATATATATGTACCTATATAAAAATAGATGCAGAGGGTGTGCAGCAGCTCCTGTTGGGAACACGTGGCCATGTGGTGCTTTGTGGATCACATCCCTAGTCCTCACCTGATAGCTGTCCCTGACAGGTCCCATTGCCCGTTCCTGGCCACGTTTGCCCTCCTCCCTTTCCATAGGGTTCTTGCTACCTTGCCTCCCTTGTATGGCCTGGCTTGGGAGGGGATGACTGACGGGCAGGTTATTTCCAGGGATGGCCCGGAGGCGCAAGGCAGCCCATTCCCCCTCCCTGGGTGCATTCTCAGCTGCTAAGAGGCTTCTTGGGATGTGCTGGCTCTGCTCATAGTCAAGGGCAGGAGCATTTGGGGCCAAAGGGGACGTGACATTCCTGCCCACCTGGGGCTGAGGAGGGTCAGGGTATTTGTCCTTCCAGCCGTAACCCACTTACTTGGAACAAAATACAGACAATAACCTTTGCTTTCACCTCTAAGGGGTGGGAGCAAGCAGGAAGTTTTTGGTCTGGCAAAACTTTCCCATGTGTTTTCATTTCCTTCCAAATAGTGGGCAGTATTAACTAATTGATTTTATTACATCCTTAAACCTCAGTCAAGACCAGACCCCATTTTTCTGCCACTGTACAAACAAAACCTAGTTATTGCTTTAAGGTGCTAACAGCCTTAATCTTAGGCTGCATTTTCTGTGTGTAAAGTAATTTCCACCAAAGGGTAATCCCGAGCCAGCTGGAGACTTTCCATTGCCTTCAGCGAACTTAATCCTAACTGCAAAAAATACTGCTCTTAGCAGATTGCTTGCTTTATTGCCTTTTGGATGTAAATATGGTTTGGTTTTGCTGGCTGCTATGATGACAGAGTTAGCTATGTGGACAGTGCTGGGCATCAAAGAGACTTTCTCATCTCGGGTGGCTGTTGCTGTGATGGTCTGTGTTTTGCCCCTGGCTTTGAGGGACCAGATGGCTTTTGAATGCCACGAGTGCACAAGACACCTTGTTCTTCTTGAGGCTAGACCTTTTCGGCTTTTCAGCCAGGGCAGTGGCAGTCAGTTATAGCCTTAAATGCCAGCTCCTCCCGACGGAGCGAACAAACTTGGCTGAACATTTGGCCCTTGGAAGGCTGAAATCTATATCTCCCCCTGCACTTTTCTGTCCCCCCTGCCCTAGCCTGTGGCGTTTCTGTGTCTGGCTCATCTCTGCACAGTCTGCAAATGCACTTGTTATTAATTCATTTTATCCGGGGCCCAGAAAAACCCCTCAGGGTTGGGGTCTTACGGTGTCAGGGATGCTGGCGTTCTCGCTAGGCTTTTATAGCACACGGACAGATGCCATGCAAAATCCCATTCGCATTTGCAGCGCTTGGATTAACAAATATGGAAGGGTGTAGGGGAACAGCCAATGTGACAACCCTCAGTAAGATGTCCTCAGAGCTAAATTGGAGACTAGATGAGCTCATTCCAATAACTGTTAATGGAAAGCCTGATTGCAAAGACTCCTGTTGACTTCAATTGCCTTGGAAAGAACAGCATGCGCTGCGTTACGTGCCTACCCTACACTGAACAGATGTTTGCTCTCTGTATGCATATGCAGGGCTCTCGAGCTGATTTTTTCTCCAGCATTGAGCAGTATTACTCCTCACTGGAGTGAAAGGGAAGAAGAGTCTAACCCAAAGCCCTTTAAACGTCGTCTTTTTTTTTTTTTTTTTTTTTTTTTTTTTTTTGAAGAAAGCTGGTTTATAAATTAAAGGCAGAATCCATGGGAAGATTGGCTATTGCCCTGAGTCTTTACAGAGCATGCATTTTGGAAGAAGCCAACACTTGGGCATCTGGCAAGTTCCCTCTATGGGTTTTTGCCAGAAGAAGCTCTGCTGTTCCACTGCATAACCCAACATACTGTCAAGCATTATTACTAATAGCTTGAATCATTTTTGGAGGCTGAAATGAGATTGAAAACCTGCTAGCCACTGTGCAAATAGCAAGTGGAAGTCTTTATCCTGAAGATTTGATGATCTAGATAAAAAAAGACCAGAGGAGAGAGACCAGAGGTCTTGTAGCATCCAAGTAAGTAACAGAAGCAGCAGCAGAAATTTTTGCAGCAGAAAATCCTTTTGGAGAGCTGAAATTCCTCCCAAACATGAAATTTCTCCCAGACTTCTCCTGCCTGATGGGCTTAGAGTCCCCAAAGTATTGCTTGGGATAGCTGCTGCTCTTGAAGAGAGGGCAAACACAGCTACCAAGTTAAAAGCAACCCGGGACCAAGAGATCACTGAAACTAAATCTCATGTGTCCTCACAGTAGATAGATCATCCTCCCATCCAACTACTCAGATCAGGTCATAACACAGCCATTGCTGGCACTACTTCCAGGGCAATGCTGAATTTCAGAAAGAGGATAAATGAGGAACTAGAAGAAAAAATGCTGTCTGTTTATCGCTGCTTGGAACATAAGGGTTTTAAATCCTGTTGGTGTTAACGTGTGGTGCCTGGGGTCACTACTGGGGAATGGAGAGAATCCCTTATAGGGCAGGGTTGGAGACTATGGGATTACTGCCTTCCTCTGAAATAGAAAGCTGCTGAGCTGCAGTTGTTCCTTTTGAACCTAAGTCAGCCCACCTGCTCCTTCAAGACATCTCTCATATATCAGCTGAGTAATGAAGTCAGGGAAGTCATGGTTTGGGTTTCCCAGTGAGGAGGAGCCTGGCTTTCTAATTTAAGGCTCACTGTGGATTTGGTGGAGGCTTTGAGGGGCCCTTCCCCGCCTCCTCAGGGCATCTGATGCCTTTAGGAGAGCCATGGTGTTGCACCGCTGCCATCACCAAACCTGGCGCAGCGTGCAGTATCAACACGATGCTCCGCAAACAGCAGCGCTGCTCCCGCTGACTCCAGCTGAGGCTCCGATACACACATTTGCAGTCCGGCAAAGATCAGCAGAGTGGCCATGTCCAGCCATGGCACCTCCCTGGCTGCAGCTCTCTGGGGGCACTGGTCTGCACCCAGTCCTGACTTGGGCTGTGCAGAAAGGCAAGCCAGGACAGCGTCGTGGATGGGCTCATTTCTGCCCTGTAGCGCGAGGGCTGGCTGCAATAAATACAACAGGTTACTCTGATGTGAATTGCCTAGCCAGGCATTTGGCCAGTTTTCATCTTAAACTAATCAACAGATAATTGTTCATTCATTCATCAGCTGTACAAACCAGACACACTTTTGGGTGCTGACAAGTAGTTATCTCTGGGAATATTGGTAGTTTCAGTTATTTTTTTTTTAGCTCTGACTAATGCTTTGGCACCTTCCCACTTGTGGTAGTATAAAAAAAAGGAAAAGTTTCTCTGATCTTGCTGGAGCGATGGAAATGTCAGATGGGTGCAAGAGGACACTCTGGCCTGTGCCCATCTCCCTGAGCTCTGGAGGTTTTTTTAACAAAGATGGGTCCAGGTTTCCCCCCTGGGCCTGCCTGTGGAAGGCAGATGAGTTGATGGGACGTCTTTCCAGATGATCTTTTCCTCTTTCCCCGTCCTTGTCTGACCTGTCTGCCAAAAGGCTGTGCTGCTCCCAAAAGGGCAGTGTTGGTGGGGGATTGGCTGCTGTGTGGGAAAGCAGGTGCTTGGCTTTTTTTTGTCCTCAAATGTCAACCCATCTGCTCCTGCCTTCACATTTTTTAGAGGTACACTCACTAATAACACCTTTTTTTTTTTCTTTTTCTTTTTTTTCCCCTTCTCTATATCTTTTGTCTAGAAACTCGTTGCCAACATGTCTGATACCGAGGAAGTGTAAGTAGAGAGAAGGCTGCCTGCGTGTTCATCTGTTCAGCTTGGCTCCATGCAGCAGAGCGAGGACATCCCCGTGGGGACAAGGGGCTGGGTGCCGCTCTGTGCACAGCCCAGAGACCCTGAGGCAGTGGGGAAGGGGCCTCTTGGCTTTGAGTGTCAAAGTGTCCATCGAAGTTCACCTCACACCCTCTCAGTCCAATACAGGACATCCTCCAAACACCTCCCCCAGCTCAGCCTGTCTGCGGTGCTCGTGGCACTGCACCTGGAGCAGGGGGAATAAAACACACAGGGTAGTGGAGGAGCTGCTTTCTGCCCTGGTTTAACAAATCTAGAGTAATATAACCAAACCCAGCCAGGGTCATTTGGTATTTATGCATCAGGAAGTACAGAGGGGACATTTAAGGCAATCGTGGGATCAGAGGCAGCATGGATAGACCTGCAGTGGTCACTCAGCCCCCTTCTCTGCTACAAGGCAGGCTCAGCACAACCTGTGTCATTTTATCCAGGCTGCTCTTAAAAATTTTTTTCAAAAGATGTGGTTTGGCACCTTTTTCAGGCAATCACTAACACATCCCTCATTTAGGGCCTGGCCTCAGGGCGGCTCTGGGGTTTGGGTTTCATGCAAGGTGATGGTAGAGCAGGAGAAACTGGCAAGTGGGGGCAAGGAATGGGAACAGAGCATGAAACTGATGTTGCTACAGCCATGGGATAAACATTGAGCAGCATCTGGTTTGTGCCAAATTTTTATTAGGCAGCCCTAGGGTTCAGGGAGCTCGTAGCACATCTGGGCTAGTGTAGCACATCTGGCTGGCTTGCCTGGCACACCATAGCTGAGGTCCGGCTTCATCAGCCCCTGCACTACTCTCATGTGTGGGTATCACGTTATAGCCTTGTGGTGGTAGGATTATTCCTTGATATGGATCCATATGCACTTCAGAACCAGGAACACTGTCTAAAATAAAACCCAAACCCAGTCAATTTTACTACTCTTAAAACCAAACGGCTCCTGGAAGAGCGGAAGGAGAATGGGGGAAAGAAGAAACAACAGACTTCAAATAACTGCATTGGGTTGCTTCAGTATATGGTTTAAAGCTTGGCGGTAATATGGAGTGGAAGAAATATTTATCTAGCTTCAATAACTTTTTTTCCTCTCTCACAGGGATCAAGGAGAGGGTAAGTCTTAAATCTGTCTCTGCTTCCATGTAAGCCTGAAGCATTCACTGGCCGTGTCCGTCTTCTCCTTTCTGCCCGTTGTTGAGGTTTTAACAAAATGTGCCGGTACAGTTAGACAAATGTGAGGTTTCTTTTTTGTGCGTCTGTCTGTCTGACTGTCACCAGCTTCTGGTGATTTTACACTTCTTGTAGCACTTGGGCTGTCTTTGTGCTGCGGGCAGCCCTTGGGGTTTCAGCCCCACGCTGATGCCCTGGTTGCAAGGAATGCATCTTGGTTTTTGTAGGGGCACTGCCATCTGCTGGCAAGTTATTTTGAGGCTTTTGTATACATAATTTCTGCTTAAAAACATAAAATCCCCACAATATATACAAGAAATATGCATGTTTTTTTTCTTTTCTGTTTTTTTCTTATAGTCGGAGACCCTCTCTGCCACCTTTCTCCTCCTAACATGCGTGTACACCTGAGTTCCCATTGCCCCCCCCCAATTCAGTATCACCTTCCTCCCCTTTTTATACTTTCTCTCTTTTCTCAAAGTAATTTTATTTGCTATTTTACTTGCCGCTTTGGAAGCGGCCTCTCAGTGACCATCTTGCCCGGCATCCCTGTGAGTGCAAAGGGCTCTGCCATGGGCAATGTCCTACCAATGTGTCAAGGCCGATGGTTCATTTGTCTGCTTTTTTTTTTTTTTTTTCCCTTCCCTATTTCAATGCAGAGGAGTACGAAGAAGAAGGTAACAAAAAAATTCAGAACGTAATTTATCTTTCTTTGATTCTTGGTCCTGCTTTTTCCTTGTCTGTAGCTCACCCTTCTCTTTGGCGCTTGCTGCTAATCGTGATCTGAAACACTTGATCGGTAAATCAGTCAGAAAACATAAAACCTGTCAAGTTGGGCTGTGATGTGCAGAGCCTTCATGTCATGGTGAAACGCAGTATTTGGATGAGCTGTAGGGTATGGATGTAAAGCTGGGAGCTAACCTGGCTGTAAACAATGAATGTTTGAGAGCAGGGACTGGTGCAGAGCCCACACAATGTATCATCAGTGAAATCCTGCCATCCTCCTTTTGGCAATGTCCATGGATTGAGTTTAAATTGTGAAATTAAAAAGAAAAGCAGATTGCCCAGCTCCTGAGGGACACCCAACAGGGTGCTGCCCAGGATAAAAAGGTGAGGCAGAGAACTGACTGGCAAAGATCAAGTTTTTTAACACGCCTTTAGCTGGCAAAAGGTGATTTGACAAGCTGCAAGAAACAGAGTGCTGATCTGGAAAGATGGAGCATGAAAAACTCTTCTCACCAGAGTTGTGTCAGCTTTTGTAGGCAGCAGGGAGAGGAAAAGTTTGGAGAGGCATCGCTGTCTTTGCTGGGCACTTCTGACACACTGGCTTCAGTTCAGTCAAGTGTGGCTACCAGTTGTCATCCTTCATTTCCCCAGTGTGTCTGGGACAAAGGGCCAAACTCTGAGGCTTCCTCCCAGGATCTGTTCTTAGTATTCATTTCCCTTTACTGGGAGATGAAATATTTGCATGTAGAGGGCATGAGACCATCTCTGAGACAGAGACTTGCCTCTGTGGAGAAATTTCCATCTTCAGGATTTTATACTTTTTTTTTTTTTTCCCTTATGGATTCCCCCAAACTGCTGCAACTGGCTAATTCCTGTCAGCAGTGGTGGGAACAGAGGATGCTGACAGTAGTTCCTGCCCTAAAGTACCTTATCCTTATGTCTCTAATTCCGCCAGCATTACTTCTGAGGGGATCAAGGGCTAAAAAAAAAAAAAAAAAGAAATGTGGTGTAGAGCTTTTTGTAGAGCTTTTTGCCCCAGCGGGGCAGAGCTTGGGAGGTGAAGGTGCTGTTCATGCTCCATCCTTCATGCCTTGCCAAATGCCCAAAGAGTAAGCAAAGGGTGTTGCTCCTACAGACAAGCCTTCCTTAAAGGAGAAGCACTTCTTGCCCTTCTCCTTCTTCCCCTAACTGTCTACTTTTGGGTTTCAAGAATGTAATGATTAATATGAAATTAATAGGCAGGTGACTTCCTATTTTTTTTAATCTGCATGACTGTCTCCTTTGAGGTGTATCTTTTCCTTGCTCTCCACTTTTGCTTGACTTTTGAGTTCTCTTCCACAGTTATCCATTTCCTTTCCATATAACTTTTCTCCATTGCTTTCTAACCACATTTTTTTCCAGGCCTTAGCTCACCCCAATACCAGTTTTTAACAGTTTTCTGTTTTCATTTTCCTGCTTGCTGTTGCTTCTTGTTCCATGACACTTGCCACCTGAAGCTCAGGAAGAAGGTATGTGACATGGCTTCTGCTTTCTTTCTCTCTCAGCATGGAGAAAGAATGTGTGTGGAGAAATCCAGAGCAAATGGTTCATACCCAGTGGCTGGGAGCCAGTCCCAAGCCACAGACATCAATGCAATGATGGACATTGATGTCACTTATTGAGCTGGTAGGAAATCAAGACTGGTTTTTTGTTTAAAAAACCAAGCCAAACCATTTATATATATATAAAATAAATGACATGCATATGTAAGAAACAATATATATATTTTATATAGATTTGTATATATATATACATAGAAACAAACATTTGTTTCGGTCTACCTTTTTTACTGAATTGCTTGACTTTTTTTTTGTCACAACAGTGTCAAGTCCCCTCCTTTCTCTCTAAAAGCTTAAATTTCTAAAAGGGAGGGGGACACCCTGCAGAGTTTAGATCCATCTGTTGAAATTCCATAAGGAATTTCTTTGAAATTTCAAAAAATTGGTAAATGTTGGTGAAAACTTTTTGCTATTTTAGAAATAGGTTTGTAACAAAAGAAATTCAGGAGTTTTGGTTAAAAATTCACCAAAAGTCAATTTTAGGAAATTATATCCAGCTCTAATAAAGAATAAAGTATTGGATGCCTTTTTTAATGTGGTTTTCATTTGCGGTTATATTCCCATATTTCAGTAACATTTATAACCCCATAATATGCCCATAAAAATGTTATTTTTAATTCTGTCTCACCCTGTAATTCCATCATTGTGTATTCTTACCCATAATGGCCTGGGAGCTTGGCAAACCTCAAGAATGTTCCAATAAGATATCTCTTGTTTTAATTTTCTCCTCCCATTCCCTTTGCTGTGTGACGTTTCCCACCCACAGAAGAGGTTCAAGAAGAAGGTATGTGAAACAGCTTCTCAGCCCCCCTCTTTCCCGCAGCAGGGCTCAGTGATGATGTGCGCCTCAGTTTTGCAAGGTGGTATAAGAAAGCAAGAGGCAAAAGAAAGGTGCTGGGACAAACGATCTGCAGGCAGAGGACTTTTCTTGTCTCTTGCACAAGTTTCACTGAGAGTGCCCCATATCCTTGAGTATCTGTGCGGGCACCTCTGTTCTGGTTTCGGGGAGGGAGCAGCATGCATAATGCAGATACCATCCCTTCATCCAAGGCACAGCAGGCTCCAAGGCTGATTTTTAACCCCGGGTGTTTGTAAGGCCTGCCATGGAATAAATGGGGTCTGGACAGAAAGGTTTCTATCACATGTCAACTGGTTTCTCCTATGTAGCTTGGCAGATAATGATCAGATGGATTTTGAAATCAAAATCCATCTGTGGTAAGGTATGTGTGTAGCCATATGTTACATAGTACATATTCTATAATATGTAATATTATATATAGTATATGGTATATATTACACATGTATAGATTGTAATATATCATATTATATATAATATAAATAATAATACTGCAGAATGAAGATCTTATTAATTAGATCGATGTAGACACTGGCCAGTGACCCCAGCTGGCTGCCCACATTGCACACAGCATTTGCAAGGTGGGACAGGCAGGGCAGAAGAGGGGCTGGAACAGAAACCCACCCTTTGCAATGGAGAGGTTTGAGATGTGGTGCTCCAGGTACAAGGAGCCAAAGGGTGTGTTGGTTCCTCATTTGCAAAGCTTTGTGCTATAGACATATTTGAAACAAGAGCAAACCCACTTACAATGCCATGGGAGACCAGCTCTGAGTGGTTTGCAGGGGTTTTATAGCATCCAGGTCCCAAAGGTTTTACATTTCTTGTGCCTGTGCGTGCTTTGGTTGCCTGTCTCCATTTCATCTCCTTCTCTGTTCCACTATTTCATACCCCCTGTGTTTTTTTAGACCCCCCTGTTGCATTCACACACTCTTTAGTCTAACTGCTCTCGTTTTCCATCACATTGCTCTTGCTCCCCGCCATGTCCCACCTGACAAAGCTCATGAAGCAGGTATGTGCCATCGCCTCCTGAATTGCTCCCCTCCATCTCCTTGGTGGTGGTGAGGGATCCAAGGGTAGTGCGAGAGGAGCAGGACACAGTTACTTTGCCTTATCACTTCTGTTGTCTTTGCTTTCCACCTCTCCTCCATGAGCGGCTCTGCTGGTGGCTAACACATGGGAATGGTCTTGGTGCGAGTTCCGACAGGTGTTGGCTCTGTAGTAACCCAGCCTCTGCCCCTCCTGCCATGTGCAGAGCTTGCCAGAAAGCCCATCGGGGCAATGGCAGGAGGCTGTTTCTCTAAAACTGGAATTAGAAAGAAATTTCAGCATGTATTTGAGCTTGCTGTGAGATTTTCCCTCTGATATGTTTTTGTCTCTTCCCTTCACATGGTGAAGTTGTTTCCCAACCACACATGCCTCAAATTCCTTCCCCACCTGGCCATTAGTGCATTCTTTACTGGTATAAAACTTGTCCCTCTGGCTTAACAGAGTTTTTAGCCTGTATAGTATCAGCCCATGTAATAATGTGTTTCTCCGAATGTTCCTTTGCATCCTGTCCTGTGGCTCTTCCCACCTAAAGAAGCTCAGGAGGAAGGTATGTGACATGACGCCTGAATTCCCACCTTTCCGAGTAAGCTCTGGTTTAGCCAGTAAGCCATAAGATGGTAAAAAGAAGCAGGAGTTAAAACCAGGCATATTAATATAGAATAAAGCTTGCCACCATTTTGGTTTTTGTACTCTCTTCCTTCATGTTCTGTCTTGACACTGAATGCACTGGCAATGCTATGTGGTAATTGTTGCATGAAAAAAAAAGTAAGAAAACTGCTGGGAAATGTAAACCTCTTAAAAGGATGAAGGTTGAAAAGCCTTCACTCTAAGACTGGTTGGGTCTCCCTGGGAGGCTTATTTTGGACCATTCAGGGTGGGTCAGGTCTCTGGATGATGTGCAGATGTGCCTGTGAGCGCTGTGGAGAGGATTTGCCCTCCTTCACCTGGCTGGTGTTCTTACAATAGCCTTTCCACATGCCCCTTTTTCACCTTAAACCCTGTCGTACAGAGCAACTGGTGACAATTTTGATGCTTTAGCTTTGCAAATGTTTAAAGATTATTTTCTCCTTCATGCAATGGAGTTTCTAGACCACTGTCTCACAGTAGCGTGTGCAGACACGTGCCACCAAAAACCTGCTGGCCTCAGGTTGTAAATGCCCTTGGGCGAGCGTCAGGGTGGTGAAGCAGTGTGATGCTCCAGGCTGCATGCAGGGCTGCAGGAATGTGCATATAAGTCAAAATGTCATCTGATACAGCCACTTAAATCAGCTTTATGCTTTTAATATCTCAGACCATTTGTACTCTTACTTCTAGTAGTGCTTTTCAGATCCATATTAATTTCATTTACTTGCCATATATTCTCAGGCTTTCCCTCCCCCTCCATTTTGTACGAGTGAAAAGTTGTTCTGATGGTTCTAATGCTCTTGTCTTCCTTTGCATTTTGCTCTGTGACTCTTCCCACCCGCTAAAGCTCATGAGGAAGGTATGTGCCATGACTTGTGAATTCCTCTATTTCTGTCTGGAGCAGTAACGCGTGCAGGAATTCTGGAGGTGGTTGAAGAGGAGAGGATGCAAAAATATCTCTCTGCGCGCTCACTGATGGTTGCTTCGCTCTCGTTCTCGTAGGATGAGAGGCGTGATGAGTAACAAGTACTAACTGCTGTTTTGAAAACAATGCCTGAAGCATGGGCTGGGCATTGCTTACATATTCCCCAGCACTTCGATGGCTGGATACCAGTTGGTATGGGGATAGTGTTCCCAAAATAATTCCAGCACCGGGGCTGGAGGCGGAACAGCCGTGCCCTCTGTCAATGCTATGCCCCTCAGTCCCACGTACCTTTTCCTCCTGTCCCCCCACCCGGCACTGTGCAGAGACAAAACTCACTTTTGCAGCAATGTCTGCTGCTGTGGCGAGACTCGAGACTCGCATCTGGAGTCATGAGCCACACGGGGCACCACGTCACACCTAGTGTTCTGTTGTGTTAAGGACTGGACCGAGAGGCATCGTTTTGGTTGCAGCGTATTTGCAGAAAATGCTAATTCAGAGAAAAGATCTAGTTGCATGTTTCTTTCATAACCATTGGTATTTTTCTGGGTTAATATGCATTATGCAAAAATGGGGGTAGCAAGCTTGCATTTTTGCTAGATTTTATAATGTGGATTAAAGTCCAGATCTGGTAAGCAATCGGTGTGATTAGCAAAATAGTAAGCCATGCTTATTACAGCTTGCCAGCCCAACCACTTTACCTTTCAGTTGCCCTTCTGCGTCCCCCCCTCTGCATGCCCAGCCAGGCTTTCCTTGAATAATTTACCTTGCAGGTTGGAAAGCAGTGATGTGCTCGTACTTACCTTCTCACGTCGGTGTGCGGTCCTACACACCCGTGGTGAAATCCTGGGCACTGAGGAAATCAATGCCAGCTCCTTCCAGCCCATTGATTTCCGCAGAGGCTGGGATTTCTATGCACATGAATAAGAACAGGTTGTTCTATACCCTTTCTGCATATTCAGACCATGAATGTAATGAACTAGATTTAAAAACAAGTAAATATTTTTTTCAACCAAAGGCTACCAATGGCACTTGATTTATAACATTATGAAGATGTGTTAGTCATCGGCATCTTTTATATCCCAACACCCCCTGTCCTTCCTCTCCGTGATTTTCTAATTGACAGCCATATGTACCCTCTATTTCTCTTTTAATCTTATTAATGGTTTTTATCCCTTTAACCCCTCCACCCTGGCTAAAAAAAGTGTAAGGGTTTTTTAATCATCCTCTGTTTCTTGCTCTAATTCTCTTATCTTTCTTTGCATCTCCTTCCCTGCTACTTCCCTCTTAAAGAAGTCCATGAACCAGGTATGTGACTTCTGAATTCCTCTGCGTCAATGTGAAGGGTTATTGTGTGCTGGAAATTCAGTTGCACTTGGCAATTTCACAATTGGGTCATGTTCTGAATTGGGACAAAATGGAAACTTTTCAAACAAACAACAACAACAACAAAAAGGAGGAATGCCTTGTTTGGCAGCTATTGAAATGATTTTTTTTTTAATTTAGTTGCAACAAAACATTTCATTCCAACATTTATTTTTTCCCCTCTTTCCTCTATGGAAGATTTCCAAATTTTGAAATGAAAATTCTATTTTAGATGCTACTGAAGCACTGACTTTATGGATAATGTGGGGTATATATAGTGTAATGCAAGAACAAATCTGGATTGAGAGATTGTCACAAGGCAAAAAATGAAAAGATTTCGTTCTAGAGATGTTAATATCTATGCAATCTTCTAAGGTTGTGAAACTTTTTATATTTTTTAACCAAAATCTTAGATGAATCCACATGAGTTTTGTAATATTTTAATTGAAACTATGATTTCTGTTGCAAAATTATAACAGTAACTCTAATATTATACTCAGGAATTCAAAGATGGTGGAAGGAAACAGATAAAAATGAAATATTAATGATAAACTGTAACTTGCAGCTTCCTTACACCTTCCACCAGAAATAATTTCCTCTGCTCTGTGATGTGTAATAATGAGGATAAGAGCTAACTGTTGCATGAAAAATGTAATAACATTTTTGTAAACAAATATCTCTGTGTATAAGCTGTAATAATAGCCACTGACTGGACCCAGAGCCATCCTCACACTGTGTATGGGAACGTTATAATGTTTATTATCTGGAAAAGCTGAAACTGAACTTGCTGCCTCTTCTAAACTGTCTGTGAAAATGATTCTGTGCCATTTCGAGTAGCATTATTAAAGCAGTCACATCTCAGCAGCTGCCCATCCCAGCTATTTCACGCTGCTGTCCACAGAGGGAGACCAGCCCCTTAGTTTAGACGAGAATCAGTACTTTTGCCAGGGTTGAAGCGAGCGAGGTGAAAGCTCTCTGATTGATTTTTGCATGACATAACACTTCAACATTCATCTGTGTGCTGCTTCTCATTTCCCTCCTGTTCTCACCGCTTCTTGTTTCGTGTCCTTCTCTTCTCCTTTTAACCATATTCATTCTGGTCTGTTATCTGCTCCTAAGGGTTTTCTGACCTTGGTTAACACAAGTTAAAGGTCACTGCTACCATCTTAGCTGCTTTGCCTGCCTCTGTACCTCTTTTCTCTGGTATTTATTGAACTGCTACCCACTACTTGAGTGTTGGTCTTGAGCATACATATGAGCTTGGAATCTGTGCAAAACACCAGGTATTAATGTCATCTGATTAACGAGAAAGCCATACCTACAGCCTCCCCATATTTTCTTTTCCTCCTGTAACATCAAGCATAATAAAAAGGAAATTTTATTAAAAAGATGTAAATACAACTTTTATGCCAGGGGGAGGCTGTCCCAGCTTTTCATATCACTGATCATTTAGTTTCTCCGTTATTAATGCTGTATTTGTCTAACACATCTTGTAAGTCAGAGCTTTGATCTGCACAGAGTTGTTGCTCTAATTCCTTTATTTTTCTTTGCTGACACATTCCACCTAACCAAGTGCATGTGTGCGACATCTAAATTCCTACATATTAATCTGAAGCATTCCTGTACGTAGAAATTTGAAGATGTTGAAGAAAACCAGAGTCATGAAGAATCAATCCATTCTTAAGATTCCCCTAAATTTATTTTCCCTGTAGGAGAGTATAATTATTGTTTGTATCTGAAGAATCATCTTCTAAGAAGCTTAGAAGAAACATGTGGTGCCCCTGAAAACTTTTAGGGCTATGACTACACCACAGCCAGGGCAGAGAGCGGGTACCTGAGCTGCAGAAACACAAGCTGCTTTCACTTGCAGGCATCGCCTGCAGCAGGATCCTGGCACACAGGCTCAGGTGGCTTCTACTCCTTTTCAGGAGAGACAAGCCCTGTGTAGACTCGAATATTTTCCGTTCTGCACAGCGAAGCCCCAAACCTGCCAGAAGAGGTTCTTAGATGGTGGAGCTCCAGATGCAAACACAGAGATACCCCCAGAGCAATACTTGACGCAGCAGCTGCTCTGATAGTGAAAGGGCATGTGCACAGCTGAAACGTAGGTTACACTGCACATTTGTAAAACTCTCTTCTTGTGTATGTTTCCTTTCAAATTTAAGGATCGCCAGTGTTACTACCATTGACCACCGTTTATATATTTGCATGATTTAAACCGTGGCAATTCATCAACGTTCAAATTCCCTTTATCTTCCATTTCTATAGCATCCCTCCCTGTCTACTTCACACCCCACTGTAATTACTCTCTTCTTCCACTTATTAACTCTGTCCCTATAACCTAATCTGCAAACAATACTTCAACCCAGTCTTACCAAAGTTTGAGGTGATCCCCTCCTGAATAACTTATTTCTAATTGTTTTATCTTCCTTTCCTATGTTTTTCCCCTGACACTTCCTACTAAATGAAGCCCCCCCTCCAGGTATGTGATTTAACTTCTAAACTCCCCAGTGTCTGCCTGCTGGGACGGTGTGTGTGGGAAGTGAATACAAGGTGACAGGAGATAACCTATCTGTTAATGATAGCTTGTAACTTGCATGCCTTTGGGGTGGTTGTTTTTTTACTTTAATATTATTTTTCCTCAGTGAAGTGTAATCATCGGTAAGGAGGAAACTTACCTGTTGCATGAAAATTTTATTAAATACTAGGGGAACACATATACTATTGTGAAAGAGTAGCGCAGCAAAAAGTGTCCTTGTGGAACGGGTCAAATTCTGCACTGTGATATGAGAATGAATGTTTCTTTCTACAGGGAAAACTTTGTTTCAAATCCTTGGGCAGAATTTGACCCATTGACTGTACACAGGGAATATAAGTACTGTGAGATTTTGCATTATTTTTATGCCTGCTTTACAAAATATTTGGTGGTGTGTGTATGGCTGAAAAGCAAAATCTGCCCTGCAAATCTGCATTGCTGATTGATTCTTGCTTTGCCAAAAAAACCCAGAAGAATGAAATGTAGAACTGCACAGACTTTTAACGAACCTTTTCTTCCTATGAAGTAACCCATTTGTAATTCTACATTGCAAATGGGTGTGAAGAACAGCAGTAGATTTATACAGACATCAAAGTTGTCTGCAAGGAAGAAAATGGCCTGAGTCATAGATCTAGAAAAAAACCCAAGCTCCTTTGGAAGTTAGCTGAACGTTGATGCTGAGTTACAGCAGGTATTTCAGTAGGTTTCCAAAGCACGCTGTGTTTATTTCCAATGACTGAAATACTGCTGTAGAAAAGGATGGATCCAATAGCGCTGTGAGAGTGCAGACTATGTTCATGTGCATATTTCAGATCAAGGTAAACCTTGGTACACTGTGCTGTCCTCTTGTGCTTTATGTCATACGATGCTCAGAATTTTTTTTTAAGCACTGCACTATTATTTTAAATGTCTGTTTCACCTGACCGAATTCTTCTCCTGTCCTGTGACCTCTGTTTATATGCTATTTCCAATGTAATTAATGTACTTTACCTCAGGTTTACTTCTTAATTTCGTTCCCTTCTCCCGTCTTCCTCTTCGCCCATCCTCCCCTTCGGCTCAAAAGCTCATTTGGTGTGTAAAATAACAGGTTTCTCGTTCTCATTCTCTTATTTTCCATCGCATCTTGTTCCATGACACTTCACACCTGAAGTTCATGAGCCAGGTATGTGACATGACTTCTGATTTACTCCACCTAGTTGCAACACAAGAGCGTGTGTGTGTGTGTGAGAACAGGAGTCCTGGGCTGATAGAAGAGAACAAAACAAGAGAAACAAATATTAACCATAATGATCACTTGCAGCCCTTTTCTCCTTTAATCTCCACGCTTACTACTACTTTAAACTTACAGCATCTTTAACTCCTGACAGCCTTTCCAGATACTTTTTCTCCCTGCCTTAATTCACTAATTCCTTCTTTTTTTTTTTTTTTTTTTTTTTTTTTTTTTTTTTTTTTTTTTTTTTTTTTTTTTCTCCCTTCATGCATTCCCTGGTCTCTTTCTCAGGCTTTCAAGAGGTTTAAACATCTGTTCTGTTTCTTTTTTCTTTTTCCTGTCTTTCCATCACTGCTTGCACCATGACACCAGCAGAGGAGACCCATGAAGAAGGTATGTGATGCACTTACAGGTTCTCAACCTTTTTCTCTTTCAGTGCTGGGGAAACAGTGTTAAAAACACTGCCCGTGTTCAAGAGCAAAGAGAGCATGGGAGGGAAACGGTCTCTGGATGGCTTTGGATGAATATGGAGAAAAGGGCCATATGTTTGCCTAAGCTAATCACTAAAAAGGTGGTTTTTCTTCTTGTTTGATCTCCAGAGAGTCCGAGGTTCCCAGCATAGCAGGGAGGGAGTGGGGACAGTTGTTCTTAGGAGAACAGTGCTGATTGTGGATTAACTACTATGCTTCTTCTCTTTTGCTTTTATCCTTCAACCTACAGCTGATGAAGAAGGCGGATACTATGATGGTAGCTTGGTGTTGTCTTAGGACAACAAAGTCATCTTTCTAGCATCTCACTCTTTTTTTTCTGTATTTGTTTTTGTTCCTTGCTTGATTTGAAACCCAGGAACTGGGCCAAAACATCTCTGCCGCAAAGAATCGCTCACTGTGCATATCCAGTCACCCTTGGGGGGTCACTGTTGTACTGAGAATCCTGTACATCCTCATTACTACAGTAGATGGTCAAAGTCAAGCTCCAGAAGCTTGCTCTGGACTTGCCTTTTAGCTAGACCCTGTTGTCATAGCTCTCATCAGCAAACCTTCTCTATCCCCCCCAAAATCAGAAAAGTATCTCTTAAATCACAGTGGCATGCTTGAAAATGGAGCTGAGCCCTGCATAGATGTGCCTTCCTCACACAGCCTTACAAGGTCATGGTCTCCAGGCCTGAATCTACAGATATTTAAACTTCTGCTGCAGCCATGCACGTACAATTGTGCTAAACGTCAAGCATGTGAATAAATTTATTCAGACAGGTGGGGCAGGACACAGGTTTAAGATAGTGTGTTCATAATATTTGGTGGAGTGGGTGCTGGAGCACATGAGTGGGGACAAGACTCATGTGAAAGGTCCAAATCTAAATGTATGCAGGGTCAGCTTTGCCCTTGTATGAGGGCAAGATAGCTCAGGCTCCTTGGGCAAAATTCAGAACAAGTGTAAATGTATAAAAAGACTCTCATGGACTTTTACAGGCCTTTGAACTTGTGTTCCGACTGCCCCAAGCCCTAGAACACCTGGCCAGCTGTTTCAAAAGATAAAGCCCAACACCACTTGAAACCACTCTGCATTTTCTGTTTCCTTGTTTTGTTTTGCTTTTGTAGATTTTTTTGTTTGTTTCATTTTCTTGCTCCCTTTGCAGGTTTTTTTTCTTTAGGGAAATGTCCTGAGGACCTTTCTGACCCTCTTTCTCTCCTCCTTTTTCTCTTTCTTTCCTTTTAATAGCATATTGACTTTTTTCTTTTTTCTTTTTTCTTTTTTTTTTTTCCCAAGGACACACCATGAGTTAGATATGTTGCCTCTGAGAAGTGGGATTAAGGGTTGTTTTTTAGGGATTTCTGAATGAAGTAAAGGCAGTTCAGATGGATTCACAGAGAGGGGGAGCAGTGTGTGAATATCTCATAGGTTGAGCAGGAGAAAGCAAGATTGTATTTATGGTGGTGTGTATTCTTCCCACGTTAACCCTTTTGGAAACCAGAAACTCAGAGAGTCGCTAATCACCAGGGCAGTGAACTTGGATTTCCAGTGGCTCTTGCCTTCTTTTGGCAGGGTTATATACGGGGATTTTGTCACAGCCTCATGGTTCATGGGCAGAATGACCAGAAACTCAGTCAAAATCCACCACAGGAACAGGAATTTGCTATGACAATTCCTGCTTGTCAACAAATTTTGGCCCAGTTCCTTGACCCGGTGTCTTGAAAGAAGGGGCATTTCAAAATAGATCACATTCCTGGGCTGGTTTTGGTGCATAAGGTATGGACCAGTGCTGGGTCATGCACTGCAAAGGACAGACTTATTACTGTTTGTTTTTTAATAAAGGCTCCTATTACTTTGTTATCCCCTTTTCTGGTTTTCTGGAGGTACCTTTAAATATTCTAACTACGATTTCTTATTTCAAGAGCAACTAATCTTCATTTTTATTTTTACAATTGTTTGTTGATTTAATTAAGTTTAAAGTGCTGATTTGGTGGCAGCTGAAACCAAATACACACTGCTATTGACAAACAGGTGTCCATCCTGGCAACAACCCTCAACAAACAAAACCAGTCGTTTCCTGTCTACTTTTTTTTTTTTTTTTTTCCCCACCCCTCTCTCTGAAGTGTTACTAACTGGCAGCTTTAAGCTAAACAGGAATGTTTCTGAAAATTATGTCATGAGGGAAGGGAATCTGCTGTGAATAACATCCCTGATGGACTGGTTAATTGTGACTTTTCCTCTCTTTAGCTAAAAAACCCAGTTTGACTAATGTGTTAAGAAGCTCACTGGCTATTTGAAAAGCAAAACCATAAAAAAAATAATTGGAGAAATATAGAAGAACACTGTTGGCTAATGGTATTTTCCTTCAGCACCAATTCATGGCTTCCTTTATACATGTGCTCTAAAACACTTTTCTAATTACATGCAGTTTATTTTATTAGCATTATTCTAGCATCTAGAGGCCTTAATTCATATATGTTTTGGTAAGCAGTACACTTGCAGTAAACAAGAAAAGCCTACCCCCCAAAAATTTTGTTACTGAAATTGGTATGAGAAAGTGGGAAAGGAAAGGTTGGTTTCTGATCTATTTTACACATCTATAATGGCTTTTCTCTTACTTATCTCAATAACCCATTTCCAGTCACTTCGATTTTTTATTATCCAACATCCTTGCAACTGATGTCTTCACTAAATACTTTCCAGTATCAGTTTTTGCTATTTTTTTCCTCTTATACTATTTTATTTTAGCCTACTCTCTTCCATTTGCTATTCCCAATTTCCCCCATTAGTCCCAAAATAGCTGGATGCAAATAAGCATTTGAAAAAATACAGTATTTTTGCTTTCTGTATCATGATATGGATAGCAGGGTTCATGCACCCACTCCCAAGGGAGGTTGGTTTTACTTTTATTTTACAAATCTGGGTTTTTACACCAGATTCAATAGGCTGTGAGCTTTTTACCTCAGCTTCTCCCAGTGAACCAACACAGGGAGAGTCTTGTACTGCAGAATCCAGCAGCATCTCTGAAAGTTCAAATGTAGTGTGTGGTTATGAAAGTCAACCTGGGTCCCTGTGAGACTGGGTTTAATTTACTTCTGTTTGTGAGAATAACAGTGCTGAACTTACTGGCATTACACTGGAGTTAATAACTGAAGTTTTAAAAGCATAGCAGGGAGGGGAATTGATCACAAGCACAAATGTTAAGAAAGTAACTCGTAAGGCAGCACATTTCTGAGAGCCAGGAAAAGGTCACTTGTTGGAGGGGAATGCTTCTGACTGCCAAAGGGCCCAAGCTGGCAGCCTCTGTGATGGCATGGCCTATCAGGGCATTTTACCTCTCCTGGAGATGCAAAGGTCATTCCCATTAATGGCCATGGGAATTCTGCATGTACCTCAGCAGGAGAGGATGCTTGCTAAGAGAGGATGGCCCTTCCAAGCTGGGTTTGAGGAGCAACACACAGTGCAGAAGAATAAGCATCTCCCCCATGACACCAAGGTATCTCAGGGACACGTGCCCTAAACTATCCTAGGAGTTAATGAACCTGGAGATAATGTATGTCATGAGGCTTTCTTCCTCCTGGCCTCCATATGAGGCATTGGAGCAAACCTGGCAAAGCCTAGTTATCATTGACATGACTGTGAATTCAGGTTAGTGAAAGAAGTGCTGATTGAAAAAGGCAACATTTTCTTTTACCCTCCAGCCCAGCTGTCAGGATCTTTAGTCAGGATGGTTTGAGAAAAATAATTTTGCATTTACATGAAACTGTTGCTTTCCAGATGTTATGTTGGGGACTTTTATACAGTCTCTTGATTCTTTTCTGCCACTTTTCTGTTTCAGGGGTAAAAACAGATTCACTCCTAACAAAAGGGGTGTGTGAGTGTGTGTATTTCTTTTTGAAGCACTTGAGATTTAACCAGTTTCTCTGGGATGTTTCCCCTAAGATTAATTTCCCTTCCCTCCTATTACTTTAGCAGCTGGCATGATCTCTGTTGTTCTAACTGTTCTCCCTCTTTTTCCCTTCCTGTTTTGCTCCATGTTTCCAAATACAGAGGAGAAGCCCAGAATAAAGTAAGTATGAGGGGCAGGGAGTTTCAAAACCCTGGCATCATTTTTCTTCTCTGGCAGAAGCTGTTAGATTGTCTATTAGGCAAATGGCCATCAGAAGCCTTTATTCAACCTTCCCTCGTGCAACATCCAGCTCTTCCTGCATGCCTTTCCAGGATGTCTGCTTCTGCCAGAGGATGCCTTAGCAGCAGTTACTGGCCAGGGTCTTAAGACCAGTTCGTGATAGAGTCAGAGGACTCATGAACTGTCCAAGATACAGCAGTCTCACAGTATCCCAAGACGTAGGTTGTTCAACAGTAAATCCTCTGTGAGAGGCCATGGCTGGGAAACTACTCATCCATCCAGGCCCGCTGACAGTAGGAAGGGTAGTAAATGTTGGGCTGAGCTGACTTGAGCTTAACTAAGGTATGGACCTTCTGGCTCTGGATTCTAGCACCTTCCCTTCCCACTCCACCAGCTTCCCAGAACAGATTGTGCAGCACTGCACCGACAGTCTTGTCTTTCCACGTGGTAGGGAATGACCATAGGCTTTGGGAATGAAAAGGGTTTTTAGGGGTAACTCCCTTCCCTGCACCACCTTCCAGGGAGGACAATGGTCCTTAGTGCTATTCTGGAGTAGTTTTCCATTGACTTGCTCTTTTACCCCTCTGTATCTCCATCAACATTCCTCCTTGTCAGCATCGTTCCTGAGGGCAGGTCAGGTCAGGACATGCTGTTTAAAAAGCTGCCTGTTCTTTAAGATGAAAATCCTTTTTTTTTGGTTTTGTTTGTTTTGTTTTTGACTCTTTGCAGACTAACTGCTCCTAAAATACCGGAGGGTGAGAAAGTAGACTTTGATGTAAGTATTCCTGACTGAGCCTGGCTGTGTTTGTCTGTATCTGAGCCATACACATGTGTGTAAACCCACATAACCCCTCCTGTATGGGATATTGCTGAGGATAAAATCAAGGACAAAAGCATGGATGCTTTGCTGCCTGTTTTCAGTGAAAGGCTACTCTGCTCCCTGAAACTCTCTGGATGCATTCATTGCTAATGTGACTAAGCTAAAGTCATGTATTTCTTTTTTTCTCCTTGAATATTTGAAACCAATACATGAAGAAAGGAGAAAGTACGTGTTTTAGGAGGTCTCAGATCCCCTGTCCCATTGTTGTAATTGGTTTGAAAGTTGCAGGTTGAAATAAAGCAGGCCTGTACACATCTATTGCTGAGAAACAGCACCTAAAATGACAACAGAATTTTAATAATAAACAGAGATCCAAATACCTTCCTAGAAAGTTGACAAAAAAAAAAAAAAAAAAAAAAAAAAAAAAAAAGAAAAGAACCTCTAGTGTTGAAAATCTACACAGAAATATCTGCTTTGCCCAAAAATGAAGGAACATTTTCTAGGTAAGATTAATCTCCCAAAGCAGAGAGGAGGCAGCTAAGTTTATGCAAAGATAGGTAGTTAAGCAAAGCCAGGGATAAAATATGATGTAGGAAAAAGGAAGATCTGGATTTTGTTCCTTTCTGGGCTCCTGACTGTCACCTGGGCTAGTCTGTGCCTGTCTGACCTGCATCAACAGCCATTTAAGAGAATCCCATAGATTTCCATGGGCATCTGCAGACACTTCTTACTTTTGTTTCTCTCTATAGGCAGGGTGCTGGGGCAATAAAGGCTTAAGTAATACATTTTCTGGCTCTTCTAGGACATCCAAAAGAAAAGGCAGAACAAAGACCTGATTGAACTGCAGGCCTTGATTGACAGCCACTTTGAAGCCAGGAGAAAGGAAGAGGAAGAGCTGGTTGCCCTCAAGGAGAGGATTGTAAGTCCTTGTACTGCCATTTTCCTGTACTAGATCGAGAGATCCTCTGTAGATGAGAAGTGGAATCCATTAGTCCACTGTCTGGCAGAAAGCTGTATTGCCATGTGCAGAAGTGACTGCTCAAGTCTCCACCAAATGGCTTCTCTCCACATCTGTCCCCTCTTTCAGCCTCTTGGTTAACATCTAGGAATTGCACATGAGACCCTTCTGCTTGTTCTGCCAAGGGAGTAGGTGGCTCGCTACAAACCAAAGCTCTTGGTGGTGGTGCGTAATACTGGAGGTAGATAAAGCCACAATGATGACTCACTGCCTTTGCCACTGCTCCTTGCAGGAGAAGCGCAGAGCTGAAAGAGCAGAGCAACAGAGAATCCGGGCTGAGAAGGAGAAGGAGCGTCAGGCAAGGCTTGCGGTAAGTGTCTTTACCTCTCTCTCCTTGTCTCAGCATCAAATTGGAGGAGATCTCTAGAGATAGAAAAAACCCTACAGGTTCTGCCTGTCTCAATCTGAAGAAGAAATGACCCCCCACTTAAAGCACAAGCAGGAAACAGGAGTTGCTAATTCTCATCAACATGCTTATCTGATCACATTCCCTGCAGTGACACTGGCTTCTCGGGAAGCTGTGAGTCTCCCCTAGAGTAACTTGCTTCTGTGTGGTGGCTCCACAGGAGGAAAAGGCACGGAGAGAGGAAGAAGATGCCAAGAGAAAAGCCGAGGATGATCTCAAGAAGAAGAAGGCTCTGTCCTCCATGGGTGCCACATACAGCAGCTATCTGGCTAAGGTAAAAAGCATGGATTGGTGGACAAAATATGGAAATGTTAAACCATGGTGTTGACTGGGAACAGTCTTCACTACAAGTTGAGAAAACAGCTCAACTTTACTTCTTCTGGATCCCTAGCAGCTTGTCTTACATGCTCTGTCACTGAAATTGTTTCATTCAGCCTGGATTTCTACAGTCTGATGTTAATTTATGTTCTGAAAACAGGCTGATCAGAAGAGAGGAAAGAAGCAAACAGCTAGAGAGACGAAGAAGAAGGTCCTGGCAGAGAGGCGCAAGCCCTTGAACATTGACCATCTGAATGAAGACAAGCTGAGGTAACATGTTTATCCTAGCTCACTGAATGTAATCCACTGAAATTTGGTCTTACTGTCCTGGGGTCTTCTCTAGAGAAAAAAAATGAGGTAAAGGAGATGGCCTTCCTTGAAATTCATTACAGGACAATGTTAACTTGTGCCTTTCCTTGATCTGGAGAATGGAGGGAAAACGGGGCTGTGTGGAATTGTTGAAATGGTTTGGTAGCCATCTAGCCATGTCCCTGGTGTAGCAATGTTAGCCTCTTCTATTAAATAGGATTAGTCATTTACAGGACTAGGTACAAACTTTAAACCCAGCTCTGAGCTTAGTTGAACAAACCTACATACTGATATCTGTAGCATTCCCAGGGGTGAGTTTGAGCTGCTAAGGTATGAGTACGGATCTCCACAGAGGCTGGAGGCTTGGGAGCTGAGTGCTCTGGTGCAGAGCAGTCATCAGATGGTAGTCTGGACTCCACATATTGGAGTTTACACAACCGAAAGATGAGGCTGGCTCACCTCAGCCCTGAAAGAGGTGAGATTGCACAATGGCAGCTGCTCATCTGGGTGGCCTTCAGAGTACTCCTTCCTTCTTGTCTGATTCCCCTGGACTCTTTTCTTTCATTAAGAAACAGAAAATCAAATCTATAGGAAATATGTTAGTGTGTAACACATGCAAGAGTGCAAGTCTAAAAGGTTCTCAGGTGAGAAGGTGAGAAAAATGTGACCTTGTCAATGGTGAGTAGCTTTCAGAGAATGGAAGGGGCTTGCAGGCAGATGTGTGAACCGCATTAAATAAAACGTTAAAAAGCGTCATTACTAGTGATGCAAAAACCATGGAAAAAATATGATGTCATGTGTTTCTCCCCTCTTTCTTTGCCCATAAACACAAAGGGACAAGGCTAAGGAACTGTGGGACTGGTTATACCAGCTGGAGACTGAAAAGTATGACTTTACAGAGCAGATCAAGAGGAAAAAATACGAGGTGAGTTGAGAAGCTGTTTCACTAATGGCCCTGGGCCAAAAATCAGACTCCTCTGGGTCAAATCTCAGACTCCTCTGGCAAAAGCAATGTGGTAGCACCATTTGGGACTCCAATGCCCTTTTTCAATATTTAAGGAGCAAGACAGGACACCTGGAACTGCATTCCCCTGATGTACATACTTGGACTGGATTTCACATTTTAGGCTGAAATTGGATAGGTTTTCAGTGCCCTATGGAAAGACAATCCCAATGGCAAATGGTCTCCCCACCGTCTGCTCAAACACATCTTGTTCATTCTTGTTTATCTATAGGTAACTGTAGCCCGAAAATTCAGTAATTCTCAATTCACTCATCTGCATTGCAAAGTAATATTTTAAAATCCATCTTTGATTTCACACTTGAATGTTGTAAGTTTTATTCCCATCCCAGACAGATTCCCTGTGGACTGAGTTCTCTGGAGTCACTGAAAACTCTCCAGACAGGAACATCTGACTGAAGTGTCATATGGTAACAGAAAGTTGGGCATGTTTCCTTCACAAACAGTCACAGGACAGGGCAGCACTTACCCATGTCAAGTTTCAGTGGCTGAGAATTCCTACTGGATCTCTGCCTGTCTCACTCTCTTTTTAATTCCCAATCACACAGACACATGCTGACAGGGAATGAGCAACACCAATGTAACTATCTCAATCTCTCTTAGATTTTAACAATGCGTTGCAGGCTGCAGGAGCTTTCCAAGTTGTAAGTACAATGAACTTGCCTGTGTAACAGCAGCAGCAAAGGCTACCAAATGCATGAGCCTGCCGCATGGTCAGAGACTAGGTGCCAGACAGAAACTGGCACTTGGCTCCAAGTGCAGAAAGAAAAGAGAAAACTGGATCTTGTGTCTCTCCCTTCACTTCCTTTTTCTCTCCCCTTCCATTCTTTAAAAAGAGATGAAGCAGTAATTTAGGAAGATTAGTCAGGGTCCAACAGGGATGTGGATAAAGAACTGAGCACGCAACCCACTTAAGACCATCTCTAAAATAATTCCCTATCCAAACTCCTGGTATTGTGTGCATGGTCAAGTCACCCTGATGCACCTGGGATACCCACAGAAGCTATGGGATATATGTGTAATAGCTTGGATTTCAGAAAAAAAGAATGGTAGGGGGTTTGGAAAGATTGTCCACCTTGTGGCATGTGCTTGTCCAGATCCAAAATACTAAAGAGGGCTAGCTTAAGGATAACAGGTCAACTGGGTGTGGAAAAACAGGAATTAAGGCAGTGCCAGGGCAGATGTACATGCTATGGTAATGAAACCTCTGCATAAACAAAAAGATGGGTGCTTGCTGATGAAAAGCAAGGAGAGAAAGTACAAAGAATGAGCGAAGGAGAAGGAAAATGTACAGCTGAGATGGGATAGAAAAGTTGAACAAAGGGAAGATGCTAGCAGGGAAAAAAGTGAGGAGAAAGGTAAGCAAAAACAGCAAAGGGAATGAAGGAGACACAAGCAAGGATGAAAGGGAGAGACAAAGGAAGGAACCGGGACACACAGGAGTGGAGCTGTTCTTCAGCTCTAGTGTCTGTTGCTTTTTGGTGCTTCATTGGAGACTAAGTGTTACAGTCACTATCAAAGTTATCACTGAAGGTAAGTCTTAAGTCCTTGGGTCAAACTGAAGACAGCTGGTTCTCCTCCACACTTGGGAAAAATACTCAGTTGCAAAAAATAATTTAAACCTCTGCAACAGATATTAAAGCTTCAATGAGTAAGTACAAAAGCAGATGATCTGCTGATCTTTCCTTCCTTGTGTGTCCTGTTCCTGCTAATGTTTCAGTCTCATTTTGTTTCTGTTCGCCACGAAAAAACAAGAGCCAGGAAATACTGGCTGTTCAGCCAACCTCGATGTATGACTTTTTTTTTTTCTTGTTTTGCACGTGGGGAATTGGAAGTGCCACTTTAAATATTCAAATGTTGGGTCATCAGTTCTTGGATCTGCAGAGCCAGTGAAGGACTCTGAATTACATCAAAAGCAGAAGCAATGCATATGTCTTGGCAAGTGCATTTTTCCACTCCAGGAAAAATAGGTAGAACCCTGACTTGGTTACAAATGAGAAGGTGATGGGGCAAAAGAGGGCTGTCTATCACACCACAGTTCTTGAGGGCTTTTCCAGTACCTGAGCTGGAAGTCCCCAGATTTCAGTGGCAAGTCCAGGGCTATGGTCCAGAACCGAGATGCTAAGTCAGGCCATAAGGTGCTCATCCTGTGCAAGGTAGGTGTTTGCTTTCCCATGTATCAGGTTGAAATATGCAGTTTACCCATAGCTAAACAAAGAGACATTCTGTCTTGTAGAACAGACTCTCTAGTGGCTTGCAGTCATCAACAGAGCTTGGGTAGGTCTTCAGAGCCCCCATTCCAACCTTTCCCTCTGTGGTTGTTGAAGCTCTCCTTGCATATCTTCTTCTTCAGTGCCTTTTAAAGTCATCTTATTAGGTGTGTGACTGCTGCAAGCTCCTCACCTCCTGCTCTGCCAGCCAGCAAAGGTAGTCCAGAAGAATCTGGGCTCCCACACCCATCTTCCACTCTTGAGGTCCCCATCCAAAGACCACCAAAGCTCTCTGAGCTAACATACTTCCTAATGTGTAGGAGTAAGGGAAGAGTGAGAATGTGAGGTTGACACATACAGGTGATGGAGCCATCCAAGAGCTTTCCAGGTGGCCAGGGTGACACTCATTCCAGTTCACTTGCCTGCAGTTTGATATGTGAGTTCATCGGAGATTAATTTGTACACACAGGAATCTTCTGATAAGGGTTATAAAACTCTAGCTCTTCTGTCCCTTGACATGTGAAATTGGCTTGCAGATTTATTGCCAAGGGCCGACATTTCTCTCCTTCAAGCAAGGGTGAGCTTTTATTTCAAAGGAAGTATTAATCCCTGACATAGGCACCTGTTTCCAGCACTTCAGCAGGTAAAACTCCCCTCTGTGTGAGGGAACAAGGTTTCTGTATCTCTAAAAACCCTGGTCATGTATGTTGTTTGCAGATTGTCACCTTCAGGAACCGGATTGATCAGGCTCAGAAGCAGTAAGTACCTATATCCCCTTCCTAGCTCCTGGCTTGGGGATATCTTTTCCGTGTTCAAAGTAGTCACTTCAGCCTCAACACCATTTTCTTGTTGCAATGAAATGAGGCTAGCGATGGAAGGGCAACTCCCATCCTGCCTCACATTGAGAAAATGAAGGGGAAACTGAAGTGAATGTAACAGCTAACAAGAAAAGAAGTCATATTCACACCATGTCTGCAAAATTTCCATCTGTTTATTGCTGGGGTTTTCAAACACCTGACTGAGGTGCTTTGAATACTTGAGGGAATACAACCCTTGTTTACGAAGGGTAAACAAGTGGTTGCTAAGATTGTAAGGAATGGTGTGTAACAAGACTAACATCATGGGATTACTGTTGTGAGTTCTTTTCACTCTTCAACTCTCTCCCACTTTCCTTCCCCGCAAGACCTCTATTTCATTAGGTATTTTGAGTATTTATATTTAACTATTCTAGGTGTTCACAGTGAACTTATGAGAGATCAAGGCTAAACAAAGCCTGGGGGCTAGGATGTGTAGAAAACTAACAGGCACAGAGAAGGAACTGCAGGGAAGCAAGGGAGGCAAGCTCTCCAGTGGTGGGATCTGGTCTTCACTGTGCTTCGGTATCTTCTCAGCAAAGTCATGCCAGGAATGAAGTGGTGGACTTTGGTGGCACTCTTGGATGACAGGAGTGACCAGACACTGCCTTATCCCTTCCCCAAGCCACCCTGCCCTATCAGATGAATGTAACACTGTGGTCTCAGTTGTCTGTAGATGCCAAACCATAAGGCTTGACCTTCCCATGGTATTTTCTGTACAGAGCTGTAGGCTGCTAAACCTCAGCAGAGTGTGCAGCTGCAGAAGGATGCCATGTGTGTTGCTGCTCTTCTGAGAGGCACTACCACACCACCCACAACAGGCTGTACCATTACTGCATGCTTGTTCCCCAAAAGACATGATACTCTCTCAGGACATAATTTGAAAAGGTTGCACTGAGAAGCCCACAGCTCATGAGATTTCTGTGTACTTAAATTTCTATCCACGCTAGACTGTATCATTCCAAAGCAATGCCTGTTAATGTGTTATACAAGGATCAAGTGATCCTTTTGCTTCAGATTTATTAAGTCTCTTTAAGCACACACTAAAGGTTAGTCATAACATCAAACATCACAGGCACTTGTGGAGATAAAAGGACTCTGCCTTCGTTTGAGGAGCTATGCAGTTTTTATACTGGGTTTTGAACCTGCAGAAAGGCTGGCAAAAAGGACACTGAGATGAATTTAGGATAAGCAGAAAATGCGCTGCTGTCTCTCATGTAAAATGTCATTTTTTCTAATAGACCAAATCTAACTTGGTCAAAAGGTAAAGTATCCAGTTTGCATGTGCTTTGGTTCAAGAAGCAGCCTCATCGTTGTGTGTGTGAGATGGAAAGGTCTGGTGGTGTGTTGAGCCCCAAAAGCCAAGGTGCTGCCTATGGGAGCCAGTGCAGAATCTAACTTAACTAACTTCACACCTGGCCCCTCTCTGACTCCAGGCATGCCTGCTTCTCAGTCAGAAGGTAAGTAGCTTGCATGTAGGATTGCCATTCTGTGTGCAAAAAGATACTATTTGGAGAGTTTGCCTCAGGTGCTTTGCGTGCAGAATTTAGCTGGACTGCTCCCACACACATACCACGAGCAAGATGGGGATACTGATATGAGGGGAGGCCTAAAAAATTGCTTGGACTGTTTTGGAGGCTCTTGCTCTCATGATATAAGGAAGAAGCCACTCTGCCTTTGCTAGAGCAAAGCAATTCTTAGTTGTATTCAAATTATTGCTCAGCTTTTTTCCTCAATGACTAGATTATTAGAGCATCTGGGGAATTTTCTGAGGGAATTTTCTCCAGAAACAGCTCTAAATCCTAAAATCCAGATCATAGCAGATTTGAATTCAGAAAACATCAAGACTGTGGCTGGATAGGCCTGTCATTTACTTTTGAGACCACCTAGATTTCTGTCCTGATAATGCAGGAATCTGGGAGGGTCCACCTCTTTGAGGCATTTCACTAAGAGCCTGAGGAGGAATCTCTTTCCACATTATTGACAATATTTTTCTTAGGATGTGCTCTATGGCAGGTGTGCCCAACATGTGAGGAGTGAAAGCAGCTCGAACCTAATCTAAGAGTCAGAAATGCACAGTGGTCACTGAGCCCCACCGCTTCCATCATGCTAACATGTTTTTCTTTCTTTTTGTATTGTAGCAGCAAGAAGGCAGGAGCCAAGGGCAAGGTTGGCGGGCGCTGGAAGTAAAGAACCAGGCAGGATGGCTGTTAGTGGCGTGCTGAAACCCTGCTGGTCTCTTCTTTCTTCCTTCACCAATCACTTGTGTTCCCACGCCTCAATAACAGAAATTGCAACATCAGCCTGCGTTGGCTATTGCTGCTGCTTTTGTTCTTTTTCTTTCTGGAGGGGTCTGGTGGCTTCCTCAGTCAAAAGGAAGCAGGTTCCCTGTGGAACTGAGATGACTCCTTGCTGGCATCTTCAATTCCTGCTGAGCATGTCCTTTATCCTCCTGATACCAGCCCTATGCTGTCCTGTAGATTGCTGTGTACAAATCTCTGGATTTTGTAAATAAAGCATGACCAGTACCTACTCCAATGACAGCCCTCTGGAATGGTGTTTCATACTTTACTTAACAGCATCCCACTTTGCAAGGATTTGGGAGTTGGTCCAAATCCTTATTTAATATAATTTGATCCAGCTCTACAACTGGGAATGAGGCTCAGTATCATCAATGGAGACCCAGGACTAGGGGTCTGTTTTGCAGCCACCATACAGGCAATTAACAAAAGCTGAATGTTCTGGGGAAGCACATAATCTGGGTGCCAAATGTAGCTGAAATTGATTTAAAAGCTTGAGTGATGAAGGGAATCAAAGAATCAGGAATAAAGCAACAAATCCATAGAAACGGTAGTTTTAAGCACACAGCATTTCTTAAATGCAGACAAGTCACAGTGCAATATAGAGGATGATTCATTTAAATATTACATTAAAATCTTTATTGAGGCAGTTACGCTACATATAATGTTAAAGCCAAATACTGACGTGTGAATTACTTGGTTAATTCAGTGTAGATGTCAAAACACAAATGACAGTGCATTTGGGATGCGAGCTATTCTGTAGGGCCTCTTGTCTTTGCCAACCCTTGAAACGCTATGTTGGAGGGAAGTCTACCAGAAATGGTGGTTCTCCTGCATGTTACCAAACTTCTGGTGCTTATGTTCACACTCCGGCTGTTAGTGTATGCTGTGGCACCACATGAGAGTGGTTTAGGTGGGAAGGGACCTTCAAACATCATCTAGTCCAAACCCCTGCCATGGGCAGGGACACCTTCCACCAGCCCAGGTTACCCACAGCCCCGTCCAACCTGGCCTTGAACCCTTCCAGGGAGGGGGCAGCCACAGCTTCTCTGGGCAGCCTGTGCCAGGGTCCCACCACACCTCGTCTTCCTTATGCCCAATCTAAACCTCCTCTCTTTCAGTTTAAAACCACTGCCCCATGTCCTGTCACAACAGGCCCTGGTAAAAAGTCTCTGTCTTTCTTATAAGCGCCCGTTATATATGGAAAGGCTGCAATGGGGTCTCCCCGGAGCCTTCTATTCTCCAACGGAACACCCCCAGATCTCTCAGCAGGTCCCCAGCCCTCCCGCCATTTCCACGGCCTCCTCTGGACCCGCTCTAACAGTCCCAGGCCTGTCTTGTGCTGGAGACCCCCGAGCTGGACACAGCACCGCTGCTGGGGTCTCACCAGAGCGGAGTAGAGGAGGAGAGTCACCTCCCTCGCGTAACCACGAGGAAAAGACCGTGTGAAATGCAGCCGCCACTGTCAGGTCCCTCAGAGGCGCCATTTTGCAGGCGCTTCCCCCAGCCTAGCACGGCCTTGCGGCTGCTCTGGGGGACCCTGCCCCGCCCGGGGGCCCCTCTGCTGTTGTAGTTTAGTGCTGGGAGGACTGCAACATGTGGGGGTGACTCATGGCAGAGTATCTCGAGAAAAATTCATCCCACGGGGAGGACTCATGATGTAGAAAGTTTGTGAGGATTGTCTCCCTTGAGAGGGATGTCACGTAGAGCAAGGGGTAGAATGCAGAAGAATGCTCCCTCACACATCTTGGAGGAAGAATTGGCGGACTGACTGCACCCCCTGTCCATGCCCCTGTGCCTCTGGGGAGAAGGTAGGAATATCAGGAACAAAACAGCCCTGGAAGAAGGGAGGTGTGGGGCCAGGTGTTTTAAGATATGGTAACACTTTTCACTGTCCCATTCTGACTGTGAAGGGTTGGTTTTGTTTGTGTTTGAATTAAAGTAATTTTTTCTTCCCCTGAGAAGCCTGCCTTTTGCCTGTGGCTGTTAAATGGGTGAGCAACCCCTCCCTGTCCTTATCTTGATTCCTGAGTCTTTTGACTCATTTTTCTCATTGCCAGTGATGTGAAGGAAGGAGTGAGTGAGCTGCATGGTGCTCAGTTGCCCTCTGGACTCAAACCAGGACAGACTCTCAGTCAGAGAGTGTAGGGATAGGACAAGGGGCAATAGTTTTAAACTGAAAGAGGGCAAATTTCGATTGGATATAAGGAAGAAATTCTTTAATGTGAAGGTGGTGAGACATTGGAACAGTTTGCCCAGAGAATCTGTGGCTGCCCCCTCCCTGGCAGTGTTCAAGGCCAGGTTGGACGGGGCTTTGAGCAACCTG